AACTTTACAAAAGTGGTTCAAGGAAACAATATATAAACCCTTCAATCTCTAAACAATTTAGCCTGATTTAAGATCTAGCCCCTTTATCTAGATCAGGCATGTCAAACTCAAGACGTCACATGATGTCGTGCAATGTATCACGACTTTTCCCCCATTGCTGGCAATGGGGTGGGCGCAGTTTCCATGCATCCAGCCTGTGGGCTGGCAGTTTGACATGCCTGATCTAGATTTTTACAGTTTGGCTAACATAAAAGGCTATATGATAGATTCTCTTTTATCAGAAGGAGCTTGCTCAAAACTAGCTGCACAAGATAACTGAAATTGCAAATGATCTACAATCTATAACAGACATGTCAAACTTGGGACGTCATGTGACGTCACGCAATGTATAGGGCCGGTTTTGCCATTGCCGGCAATGGGGTGGACATGGCTTCCACATGACACATCTGGCCCACGGGCCAGCAGTTTGACACCCCAGATCTACAGTTATGAAAATCAAGAAGTGGGACTAAAATTAAGCATGAAGAGGACCAAACTAATTGCAACAGGTAGAACACACAGTCTTAGAACTGATAATGAAAAGCTAGGATCTTTAGGATTTACTACTTTTAGGATTGACTATCAACAATAAATCAAGCAGCAGGGAAGAAATACACAAGAGAATAACTATGAAGGCCTTGGGAAAGATATTTAGATATCAATAGCAATGATATTTAGACTTATATACTGCTCCATGATGCTTTTACAGCCCTCTCTACAGAGGGGTAAGAGTCAACATATTGCCTCCAGCAATTTGGGTCCTCATTTTGCCAACCTTGGAAGGATGGAAGGCTGAGTCAACCTTGAAATGGTCAGGATCGACTGAATCAAACTCCTGGCAATCTGAGCAGTTAGCCTGCAATACTGCATTCTAACCACTGCGCCACCACAGCTCGTCAGATGCCTGAATTTGAACTGTGCAGGCAATGCTTTTCCAACTGTGACATTCTATGAAAGTGAAAGTTGGACTTTGAAGAAGCAGGAGAGGAAGAATATTTGAAGTTGGAGTTGGCGTTGGAGAAGACTCCTAAGAATATCCTGGACTGCCAAGAAAATGAATAAACAGATCATCCAGAGTTCTCACTCAAGGCACAAATGAGCAGGTTCAAATGATTAGACACATATAATAACTTAGGTCTCTGGAGGGGTCTATAGTGCTGGGAAAGATGGAGAGAAAGAGGATGACCATTAGCAACGTGGATAGACTCAGTTATAGTGACAGTAGATGCACAATGGAAGACCTAAATGACTGGGTTGAGGACAGATCCTCCTAGAGAAAATCTAATAAGATTTTAATTATGACCTTTTATAATAATAATGGCTTTTTAATAAGGACACTAAGTAATGACAATGACTTGATGACACATACAGGTAGTCTACTACCACAATTGAGCCCAAATTTTCTGTTTCTAAGTAAGACAGTTGTTAAGTGAGTTTGACAATCTTTCTTGCCACAGTTGTTAAGTGAATCACTGCAGTTGTTAAATTAATTACAGAGATGTTAAGTGAATCCGGCTTCCCCCTTAATTTTGCCTGTCAGATCACAAAAAGTGATCACATAACCCGGGGAGACTGCAATCATCATAAATACATGCCGGTTGCCAAGTGTCCAAATTTTGATCACATGATCATGGGAATGCTGCAAATGTCACAAACATGAACAATGACCATGTCACTTTTTTCAGTGCTATTATAATTGTGATCACTAAATGAATGAATCTAAGTCGAGGACTACCTGTAATTAATTGTTCCTATGTTGTTTTTATAGCGAGACACTGTGGTTTTTCCAGTATCCCAGAACTATCCTAAACATTCCAGCATACTATAAATCAATGCAAAGCTTTGAGTTTTTGATATTCGCTTCAAAATCTATCAATCCAATGTTGCTTTAGTCTCAGTATTTGCATTTTTCCTGCCATTCTTATAATTTGTCGATTGGATTGGATACTTTTCCCTTCAAAAGCTTATGTTGCAAACCATATTAGCTGACATTACATGCCCTATTTTAATGAGAAAGCTGGCAGTTCTAATTTAATACAGTGTTAAAAAATCTGAAAAATCTTCTAGTTCAGGATGTAAGGTACAGTGGAAACATACCTGTTCTGTGGTACCTGCTAAATAAACCAGCAGAAGCCTGTTCAGAATATGATCCAGAAGTTATATTGCCAGTACAGACAAGTATGCCATACATCTACAGTTATATTTATAGTGTAAACAAAGTTTTCAACCTCATCCACATTAGATTTCATCTAAGAATTCTCCAAGGGCAGAACATACAGTTTGTTTAATCATATTTTTGCTTTCTCAGCTTTCTCCATACTCTAACACTGAGTTAGTGATTGGAATAAAACAAAACAAAACAAACAATAAACAACATCACCACCAAAAACCAAATTAACAAAATAGCTGTTTGTATTGATTTTAGGGATAATTTTATGTAGAACAGATTGGTCCTACATTCAGTAGCATTTTGAAACAAGCAGATTAAGTATCAAGGGACAAGTCCTTCTACTCCAAACCAAGAGGGAATCATATAAATCTTCAGATATCACAAGTAGTCCTCAACTTACAATTGTTTTGTTTGATAACGGTTCAAAGTTACAATGGTCACAGTGGTTTACAACTTGTCCTTGGACTTATGACTGTCACACTACCCCGATGGTCATGGGGTAGCAATTTGGGCACTTGGCAACCCCATTGGTTATGTGATTACGGTTTGCAACCTTCTCAACTGGTTTCCAACAAGCAACTTTAATTAGAGGAGCTGGATTTGCTTAATGACTGTATGATTCATTTAACGTAAAAGGGATCACAGTAAAAGCGATCATGAAATTGGGTCTAGTCACATGATGACTGTGCTGCCCTACTCTCCTCATGCACATACATACACATATACATACAGTAAGAGTTCTACATGTATTTATTCACCCCTCCCCAAACCAGGTCCTCAGAAAGCATCCTCCCCCATTGTGCCAGTTCAGATTCTGAGCTCAGCACTGCAAGATTCCAATGGGCACACATGAAAGTCCAGGAAAGCAGTCCACACATCAAGTGGGTCAGGATTCACAGCATGAGCACACAAGGCAGGGAACTGGGCACGATGATCCAGCAACATTCAAGTCCTCAGGGTGAGATTAAGTAAGCAATGCCAGTGCAGTCCTTCATGAGTGGCGAGGTTGCCTCCTTGTGAATAATCTAGCTGACTGGCCTTGTGCCTGTCTCCTCTCTGCCCTAGTTGTGTCCTTGGATCGGGAGGTGTGAATTCTACAGTACCTCCTCCTCATCAACAGGTGGCAGCTGTTCCTGGAACTCACCTAGAGCAGGGGTGTCAAACTGCTAGCCCGCGGGCTGGATGCATCATAGTGAAACCGCGCCCACCCCATGGAAAAAAAGTCACGATGTGTTGCGATACATCACGTGATGTTGCAAGTTTGACATCCCTGACCTAGAGCCTCCTGGACAACTTGCAGCTGTGGCTTGCCTCACTCAGCCTCAGCTTGTCATTTGTCCAATCAACCCAGCTGAGGCTGCTCCGTCAGGCTAGCACTCTCTGAACCCCGATCCGGGGCATTGCTCGGCCCTGCTCTGCCCTTTCCTCTGTTGACTCATCCTCCTCATCTGAACTCGTGTCTGGAGAGAGGTCCGAGGGCGGATCCATGACAATGATTCACTTTACAACTGCTGTGACTAACGGCAGGAATTCCAATCCTAATTATAATCATAAGTCAAGAACTTTCTGGCATGTCACAGCATGCCAGAAACCAGACCACACAAACAAGTGAAGCCCCATCAGCGGGATGGAGGCAAGTATGGACCACGCCCTCTCCAGTCCACAAAAAAACTTCTCCACGGAACCGGTCCCTGGTGCCCAAAAGGTTGGGAGCTACTGCTCTTGAGTACAAATTCTCCTCAGGGCTACATCCTAAGTCCGCTATTGTTCACCCCGCTGATCCATGACTGTTGTGCAAGATCATTGTCGATTTCAGAAAAGGCAGGCACAGCCATACAACTCTGTGTATTAACGATTCAGCTCTGGAGGTTGTTAGTAGTATCAAGTTTCTGGGTGCGCAGCTGACAAGCAGGTTAGCTTGGTGGCTCAACAGTGAGACACTGGTGAAGCAGGCGCAGCAGCACCTGCATTTTCTGCATCATAGAAGAGCACATCTTCCTTCCCTTGTCCTTCCCATTTCTATACAGGGACTATTGAAAGCATCCTGTCGAAACCACTGTGTGATTTGGAGATGTTACTGCTTCGGACGGAAAGGCTGTGGTGAGATGGCAGAAAATAAGATTATTGGAAGTCCACCGTCTTCTGTCCAGGACATAGCACTTAAGTGATGCTTGACTAGGGTCCCCAGTATTGTCATGGATGCTACACATCCTCTCCATGACCAGCTTTCTTTGCTACCTTCTGGGATGCTTCACAGTATCTGAAGCAGAAATTCTAGATTCAGTTACCATATAATATACACCTTGTTAACTCTCAAGACTTTTTTCTGCTATGTATTCTAAATGGTCTGTGATTAATATATAAATGTATACATATGAGTGTATGTATATGTATATATATTGCATATGTATATTTATGTGCATGTAAGTGTATGGGTATATATCTTCTTTTGAGAGCGGGCATCAGAATTTATTTTTTAATGTGTGCCAGTGTGCCTAAATTTCTTTAGCTTACTATTTTTTGCTCTGATATTTCCGGAATATTATGCAAATATACATATATGCACACAGTATATATGCACAAGAGAAAGCATAACTGGGCATGTTAAAGTTAGTTGTACCATTAAGAAAGTAGATTGATACAATTATCTTAAACTGTCCCAAAGTTTTTTTTCTTATGTGGAAATTATTAACTAATATTAAATGGCCTATTAATAACCTAAATGCAGGCTATTAAATAGTTTACATTAAACCTCTGTAATTGCTAATGATCAACAACAACAAAAAGAATATCAAGTAAATACTATAATGTAAGTTTTAATGTTCTACACCAGAGTATAAACAATAGATGCATCATAATTCTTTTCTGGGTTCAGAAAGATTTCTGCAAAATAAAAATTATACTCACGAAAACATAAAATGACCCATGCTAGGAAGCATTTGTGTTACAACTTAATCCTTAATTTTATTCATATACAAGTTTCAGCTCAATGGGTCTGATTCCCCTTTTAGTGTACACAGCAACCATGTACACACTCTTTATCCTGGGTGATAGAATTGTGTTTTAGACTGAAGCTGTCACTTATGAATAGAGTTCATCTTGATCTGTGCTACAAATCTGTAGAGAATTCAGGAAAGCACTTATTCAAAGAACTAATTTGAAAAATGGAATTAAAACAGCCTTATGACTCACTGTAAGAGATTCTCTTCTCTATATAAATTGGTATCAACCCCTTCTATACTGTCCAGTTTGAGAGAGTCATTTGGAAATTCCTTTCTTCTCTATAATAAACTAAGATATAGAAGGTACACAGCCCGCCTAGCCACTTTCTTGGGATCCCTGCATAACATATCATTCTTAGCCAGTGAAAAGTTCTTATAGATCGTATCTCTTCTAGGCACTGCAAAAGCAATCACCAAATATCTCTGTCCCGATTCTGTGTATAAATCAACATCACAGAGACCAAATCTAGATACTCATTCAAAAAGATAAACGGAGTTTCTTTTCAATTCTCACACAAGTTTCAATTGTTTTCTTCTGCCCTGGAATGGAAAGTATATGTTACACTCACTGCAAGCGACACATTTGTAAAAAAAAAAAAAAAAAAAAAAAAAAAAGTAAAGAGTTTGTTGTAGCGACAGGTCTTTATCAACACCACTCATATTGATTGACATATCATTATCAGTAAACTCGCAGGTCATTCTCCAGCCCATATATCTTTGATTTTAAGTTTTTCAGTTGTCCTTGTATCTTTTTAGTTCTCTTATTCCCTTGGCGAACTTCATGTAGAATTGCAAGATCTTGGTCAGGTCCCACGTTCATTATCACCTAGAAAGAAAAACAATTTCAAAGAAAGAACAAACAGGTTTTGAAAATAGTTTGATTTTGGAAAAGGAATATAGAAAGTTTTGAGTAGATTTTATTAACCAATTGACCGAAAGGACATATATGGTTCCCCATCTTAAGTACAATGATCTTGGGTGGCCCACAAAAATAGTAGTAAAAATGTGACAAGAAACAATGGAACCACCATCCAAAGGTAGTTCGCAGAACCCCAAAACACTCTTCTAATCATCAACATTCAACAATGATTGGGTTCCAGCCACTCCCTAACCCAATGTTTGGGAGAAAGAAGCAGCTTTTTAAGGCCTTCTGGAAGGCTGATAGGTAAGGGCTTATGAGATCTGGATGTTGCCTAGGGCAGGGGTTGCTATGGAGAAGGCATATTTCCTACATCTCCCCAGATGACATTTAAGGAAAGGGAACTGGGACATGCCCATCCTATCTAACCTGGTGTAACCCTGGGCAGATATCCTCAGGGAGAGGCAGTCCCATTAATAATTTTGCCATGTACAAGATACAGCGTTAAAAATGATAATTGGCACCATGAAGTGTACCCAGAACAAAAATGGTATCCAGTGAAGCTCAAGCAGTGATATACTACACAAAACTACAGGGTGCCTAGAAGTGCATCTGTAGCTGTATTCTGGCCAGTTTAACTTTTGGATGGTCTTCAAGAGTAACCTATGCAAAATATATCCCCATAATCCAACAGGCAGCGATCAGAGCATGACTAGCCATGAGCAAGGCCTCCTGGTCCAGGAATGGCATAATGGCATAAATGGTGCACAAGATGGATCTATGCAATTCCCTTGCCCCCAGCCATGGCTACCACCTCAAGCCCAGGACAAGTTTGGTATAATCTCTGTGTGCTATCCTGGCAAGAATCAAAGGTGACACCTCACCAGATTGAGGGGACAGGGGGTGCAAAAACCAGACCCACTGTTATGGTTGTGTCATAGCTGGTTTCTTCCCAACCAGACCCTCACAACCTTCAGGGATTGGGTCCGAACCCAGATGGCATTGCCTGGATGATCAGGGGAAAGATTTATAACTGGTTATCAGCATATTGATGATATAGAATCCCATGCTGTTGATGACTTCCCCCAGCAGTTTTATGTAGATACTAAAGAGTGGTCAAATATCTGAGTCCTGAGACACCTCACGTTGCAAGAACCTAAGGTCAGACCTTCCCATAACCCTGAGAGGACTAGAATTTGCAACTTTCTTCACAATCTCTTTAGCCCCACACTACATTGGCTCTTGGTAAAACCCCCGTTAATCAAAAATAGATTCTGCTAATTATTCTTTCAGAAGTTTGGAAATTTGGTTTCAACACATTATTTTGGAGGAATTGTTATTTTAACCCTTGTTACCTTGAAAAGTTGCTTCTCCACATCCTGCAGCTTTTGTTGAAGTTGTTTGATGTCAGTTTTAAATCCTTCCACCTCCATGACACGCCTTTTTTCCAGTGCCTCATAGCGCTGGGTCATTAGCTGTAAACGCTTCCCCATCTTTTCTGACCGTTGCTACAAATGTGGAAAAAAACCCATAAGATTATAATCTAATAATCAGATATTTGTGAGCAGTTTTCATAAGATTTGCAAAATTGCTGCAACAGCAACAAAAACTACTTACCTTAAACATCTCTTGACCTAAATTTCCTTCCTCCCGAATCTTAGCCAACTCCTCTTCCAATGAAACACACTGTTCTCGATACATATTTGCTAACGTCTGCTCCTGTGTCAATTGATCTTGTAAACCCTGGAGTTGAAAAATAAAATAAAATAAAATAAATAAGCTCAATCCTTATTTGGGCTTCTTAAGCAGCTGGAAGAAATACAGAAAAGGTCACATCAATGAATAATTAAGAGAAAACAGTGACTGGCAAGAAACGTTTAACATTTCAATGCACCACCGCATCATAGTGTTGAAGTCGTATGGCATTATATTTAATCTTCAGAAACAACCTGATTCAACATAGTCGCCATTACCTTAATCTCTACTCCATACACTTTATGAATGCCATGCTCTGCTTGAGAAACACATCTGGCAGCTCTTGGTTTCCTCTTCTTGAAAACTTCAACCTTCCCACTGGGAGGTGATCTCTTGGTGAAACTCTGCTGACAAGGACTATTTTCCCACTGCAGGCTAATGTCCTGTTTCTCTGGGCTAGTAGCCCACCAGCTTTGACAACTCTCGTAACTCTGATTGATGTGGTCCTGGACTGGACTACCGTTCTTACAAATCCTGCTCGGTTTGTGTGCACATCTACATTTGTCCAGCTTCCTCAGCAGAGTGTCCTTCTCTGCCATCCAGGATTTTTCATTTGCTCGTGCATCAAACTTCATCTGCAGAAAATCTTTGGTACTCTCATGTAGCAAATTTTGAGCTTTATGGTATCTGGGGAAAGGCAGATTACAATGAATTAGTGAATGAGTTATTGGTCAATTTATACTTTAACCCCACTATGAGAGTGAATCAGGATGTGGAACGTGAAGCAACAGTTTCAGTATATTGGCGTGTCCTATGTTTAGGTCTGCATGGCTGCTTTGTTACCATCTGTATTCTGGATTTGAGTCTACATGGATCTGGATCCTAACCCAGATTGGATTAGTCATCTAATCTAAGACTCTTTATCCTAATTTGCAGCTCTACAGGATTGCTAAAAGATTTCTCATAGAGCCAATATCAAGATCTTTTCTTTGGGAATTGGTGATTGAATTTGTAATAGCTAGGCTCAATTACAATATTAGGACTCTTTCTCAAATAATAACATTGTCTAGAAATGATCACTTACAAAACAATCTATCCCACACATACTGTAGCAAAGGTTCAAACCAGGACCGTTAGATTTAAAAAACGATATTTTGCCCAGGGCAGGATAAAATGCTTTTACAACACCCAATATATCATTCTTTTTAGTAGGTGATCTCAACTGGTCTTTTGCACGTACTTTTCAGTAGTGTCTTTGATCTTTTCCTGATCCCTCTGATGCTGCACCTGCACTTCTTCTATTCGGATGCGTCGATCTTCTAGCAGTGCTTCAATCTGCTCCTTTGACAGCTTAGTCTGTTCTTCTAGTTGAGCCTGAAGAGCTTCCACCTGAATCCACAAAGAAAAAATAATAATCTGAAGAATATGCTATAATGCAAATAAAGTAAAATAAAATAAAATCTTTCCCTTGCAAAAACCTGTTTGCAGGTTTCAGGCAGTTTGGTGTAGTGGATTAAGGCGCTGGACTAGAAGAAAGGAACGTTCTACTTCTAGTTCTCCCATAGGTACAGAAGCTGGCTGGGTGATTTAGACTTTCCAAGTCCAACCCACTGTTTTGTGAAAGGTTATATAAGAAGGGAGCATTACCGTATATGCCGGCGTACAAGGCGACCCGGCGTATAAGACGACCCCCGTCTTTATCGCTGGGCCGCATTCCTAGAACGTCGTCTTATACGCCGGAAACTACCAGTATTTCTGGCGTATAAGACGACCCCCATCTTTGGTGCCGATTTCAGCGCTCGCGGAAGTCGCCTTATACGCCGGCATTTACGGTATGTATTCTTTTTTAGAAAAGCTGTCACAGTTGTTTGTCCAACCATTAAATGTCAAAGATAAAATGATTACTTAAAGTGTCATCCACCATTAATCACTTGCTCTTTCTTTGGACCATACATTCCCAGATTTGCTCCTCCTTCTCCCAATTGCACTCCCTTCATCTCTTGTAATAAAGGCAACCAGTTAGGTTACATTGTACTAGGAGCCCAGCTCGGAAGAAAAGTGGGATCCCCTCAAAATCCCTTCAATGGTTGTGACCACTTAATAACATTGGGGAATAAAATTATGTTCAGATGAACCCTGGGTGACTTTATCAGATAGCTTAGTATATAAGGGCCTGGGAACATACATCTGCATAGCTAAATTCTGAGGAAATAGTGATATATCACCAGGAAGAGAATTATATAGAAATGACTCCCGAGTCATCAATTCTTGCTCCTGCACAATTCCCTTTGTCAGTCAAATGAAGGTCAAAACTCTTGGGGCTATTAACTTGTCAGGCTTCTCTTGATGGATACTAGATCTGGAAGTTTCCCCAGTGAGCAATTCAAGGCTGCAGATCTCTTAAAACTTTCAAACTGCAAAACGAAGACAGCATCCCAGCAACCATTGAGTTTAATATGTAAATTCTATTAAGAAATCTACATTCAATTCTTGTGCCATTTTCTTCCGCTCACATCTTGTCATGTACACTGCATGCTTCTGAGTGGGAAGAACGGTTCTAATGGTTCCATTTTGGCTAGTCTAATTTCAGGTAGTTCTGCTTCTCTCTCTCCTTGCCAAGGCTGTTTCTAGTGTGGCCACTTTTGCAATCTTTTGTTCATCCCTGAAGTAAAAAAGTAAGTCAATCTAGGTGCCTGCGAAAGTACTATCTTCTTAATGCTCTTTTGCTACTTTCTGCCACTTTCTCTTTCCCCCACTTTTCTCAGGGAGGCTCACCTGAAATGGAACAGGTTAATGCCCTTAATACCAGATCTGTCTATAATAGATCCAACTTGTAGACAAAGAAATGATAGATTAAAGGGAAGACTGGCATCCATTACCAAAACCTGGCTAGATGAAAATACCCTTCACTAAGATCTGTTTAACTGGGGTTCAGTCAAGACTCCAATGCAGGAGAGGTGGAATGTCAATAGTATATCACCATAAAGTGTCAACATGTTCATTATCGTGCACACATTCTTTAATTCCTTCTTATTAAAAGAACTGATGCTGAATCTGATAAATTGAAATCCAGACCAGTACTACAGTTTTTCATGTAGTACTACCAATTACCTGTAGTAGGAGTGTTTGGTTGTCTCTTTGGTATCTATCTGCACTTTCAGGCTTCTCTCCTTTATTTTTGAAGGCAGAGCTTTTAGAACCTACAAAGAAAATAAGTTTAAGTAATAAGATGTTATTTTATTAATCCGAAAGGTTCCTTGAGGTAATGTTTTAAGGTGACCGTATTTAGCAGAATGGAACAACGCACTTACTATGAAAATTCTTTTTCTGTACACTGAAAAACAGGTTGCACTTGCTCCAAAAGAAATAATTAAACGTCTGAAACAGGGTAAATAATCTCTCTTAAAGTTGCAGGATAAAAGAAGAAATAAAAATCAGAATGAAAACACAAGATAGTTTTTCCCTATGATAAAAACCATTATCAAACCAATATCTTCATCTGCTGTAGAGAAATAATTTTCACAATCATTTCTATTTCTCTTTTCCTTCAGTGGAAGGAGGCATCCTGAAAACTGTGATATATTAACAGCGTCCAAGAGGGGAGAACTACAAGAACTTTAGGAAAACAGATTGTAACAGATTTGCATATACAATAGCAATTATGGGAACCCTGTTAAGAAAAAAAAAATGCCTGAAGTAGCTACACCCTTTACAGAATGGGTCACAACTCTCTCCAAAGTAGCAACAGGAACAGGAATATTCTTTATTGCCAAGTGTGATTGGACACACAAGGAATTTGTCTCCGGTACACAAGTGCTCAGTGTACATACAAACAAGTGATAAATCAAAAGATACCAGTAGAAGATAGTAGGAAAGATGAGAAGGATAATAGAAATACAGCCCTACTACATCTTTAGGGAATTAGATGTTTAGCAGAGTGATGGCATGGGGGGAAAATGTGTCTAGTTGTTTCTGCATGCAATGCTCTGTAGCGGTGTCCTGAGGAGAGAAGTTGAAACAGTTTATGTCCAGGATGTGAGAAGTCTGTAGATAGCATTAGCACTTAGACTTATATGTCACTTCACAGTGCTTTTCAGCCCTCTCTAAGCGGTTTACAGAGTCAGCATGTTGCCCCCAACAATTTGGGTCCTCATTTTACCGACCTCAAAAGGATGGAAGGTTGAGTCAACCTTGAGATGGTCAGAATCAAACTCCTGGCAGTTGGCAGAATTACCCTGCAATACTGTATTCTAACTACTGCACCACTACAGCTCCTGTAGGTATTTTCTCAGCCCTGTTTCTGGCTTGTGCAGTATACAGGTCCTCAATGGAGGGCAGGCAGGTTGCAACGAGTTTTTTTTCCTACAGTCTTAACTATCTTAACAGAGCTTTTTAAGAGGAAACACAAGAATGCCTGGAAACCTTGCCAGAAGATGAACAGATAAATGGGTTTAGGAAGAGTATGCAGATTTATTGCTTTTTGAGAAGGAGATAAAAAGGTTGGATCACTCTGACTCCCAACTAGCTTACATATAATAAAAATAGATATAAACCCATTATAAATATAAAACAGATTGTGAGCTGTTAACTATTTGTTCAGTCCTATAAGCTAGGATGGCATATGTTGGTTTGGATGTCAGAAATGCTCTACAATATTTCTAGAAAATTCTCAAAATGTTTTACATTATTTCTAAAAAAAATATCTTAGTGTGTTAACCTGGCTGTCATTAGAGAATCAATATCAGATGCAATGTTAAATAAGAATACAGGTAACACCACTTACTTTTCTGAATCAACTGGACAACAACTTACATATGTAAAAAATGCTACCATAAAAATATCTTGTTGAAATATACTACAGATGCTTTCTCTTCTGCTAGGCCTGGCTCCAAGTACTTATATTTGTGATGAAAATTCTTTTTTATGTATCTCCCCCAATGGAAGTTTTTTTTTTTTAAAAGAAGAACACCTAGTATTAATATACACTGAAAAGGAGATTCACAGAACCAAAGCAAATTTAATTGGTAGGAAACTGATTTAGCTAGAATCTGTAGGACAATGTTTTAGCTTGAATGAGCAGGGTGGAAATGGATTATAAATATTAGAGACTTAATGAATTAGATATTAACTTCCTTAAATATAAGAAAATCAACCCAGCAATCAGTAGATAATTTTATCTATAAACAATCCTTTTATCAGATGATAAACATCTCTTTAAAAAGAATTTCAAAAATAATTCTCCAAAACTCTTCAAAAGGAAGGGAAAAAAGCAAATTGGTCTGAGACTGTAGACATACATTCCATAATCTATATTATGATTACATATACAATAATGTGAAATTACAATTGCCAATTCTTAGCTGGTATTGACCTTCATTTGCCTCAAGTATTTCCCCAGAACTAGGATGTCATAATGTATCAGTGCGGTATATGTGTGAATCCAGGCAGTGTGGCCTTTCGTAAATGGCAGATGGAAATTTTGTAAATGCACACTTTTTCTAAGTGCTATCCAAGATATTTTGGTATAGTACCCAGTATGCCAATAACCAGAGGGACCAATATGGCTGGCTTATGCCATAATCTTTCAACTACAATTTTCAGATCTTTATATTTTGTGATCTTCTCCAATTATTTGTCTTCTATTCTACTATTCCCTTGTATTTCCACATCAATTATCTTTTTTTTTCAACAACAGTTAAAGCTGGTGAGTTGTGAGCCAAGCCTTTATCAATTTATATTTAGAAATACCACAATATTTAATCTGCTTATTTTCAGCTACTTTTTCAACTGTGTTCCTGCCAATTTTTCATGAATGGCACATGATAATTTTTACAGACCTTCCATTGAATCACTCTGGTGACCATGTTATGTCACTGTTTATAATCAATTTGTGCTGTTTTCTTGCATGAGCTAAGTATATGATCTACTGTTTCTTCTACTTCTTTGCACAATCTACACTTTGAATCATTTATTTTTCAGTTCTGGCTTTGACTGAATTGGTATCAAATAGCTTGTTCTATTTTATTATTATTTTATGAATTGTTAATATTACTTTATTATATGGGTAGTTTACAGCTAGATTTACAGTCTAGGACTTGTAGAAACTTAATAATAACACAAGTCCTAACCAAAGACCTAAGAATTATTAAGGCAGTGTCTAAGAATATTTATCCTTTCAAATATATAACTTGAGGCAGCAAATGTACCTAATACTCTGCCATCTATTTTCCCCACAATAACCCTGTGAGGTGGGCTGAGTGACTGATTCAAGTCACTCAACTGGCATTTCATGCTTAAAGGAGACCTAGAACTTATACTGCTTTCTAGGCCAGCACCTTCACCAGTACACCAAACTATCTCTCTAATTCTAATTTTACATGTGTACCTATTGTTAAACATAGGCAGAACAGCCTAAGTATTTCTGGACTTATTGCTTATACCAAAAGTTCTTATTGATGCACCCCAAAATTATACAGAGGAAATCCACTGGTGATTACTCCACTATGGCTGAAATCAAAGTGATTAGCATAAAAAGGGGTACTTATGGTCCTTCACATAGCACAGCAGGTGAACTGCTATTTAGAGTTTGTCTCCTTTTGGCTGGTAGTCACAACTTCCCCTGTTGGTGTTCTGCCTGAGAGATTCCTGAAATAACCGATAAAAACTTTTAGGTTTTGCTTTCTTTAAAGAATGAATATAACCAATTCATTCAATTAACCAGAATAGACTGGTCAGCCACCTGTCTGAAATGGTATGGGGTTTTATTTTAATTGAAATTAGTTTGAGATTCTTTGGGAAAAGAAGCCCACATAATTTTGTGCAAAGGAGCTTAGCAGGAAAATCTCCGAGAGAGAATGTTTTCTCTCTCTCTCTATGGCTGTTCTAAATGAAAAGAGCAACCCAGCTTTTAGAATATCTGAGGAGAGGAGAGGAGAGACTTCAGCTCACATCATCTAGGAAAAATTAAAGCACCATTCCCAAATTTACAGGCACCATCTTGGGGGTTGTTGCAACACATCCACAGAGTACCACAAAGGGGAAGGCTGAATAGTCAAGCAGGCAAATCCAGTAGAGTCAGATCTTTTCCATAAAACCCTATGGTACCTGAATGTTATCTCTAATGTTTAGTCAAAGTAATTTTTATTTTTCCACTGACCTGCTTTTGAAGTGTATTTGGCATATCTATCAAGGGAATCTCTGCTCTTGGTTGGTAGCTGATGTATAGTGACCTATAAAAACCAAAACATTGCTCATTGTTTATTCTATCAAAGCATTTCATATACACATTAGACACTGTAATTATAAGAAATAAAATATATAGATAACAATGATCTTGTAGTTCAGTTTCAACTGCTAATGTTTATGCTTGTATCTTAATATTTCTTCATACATTTTCCTTCTTCAAGTAAATCTTTTACTGAAATGCACAAATTAACCTACTTGTTCTAATTAATTTTCCCCATTAATCACAATTACTCTGGTATTTTATAACTTAATTTTCTAATCCACTTTGTTGTGTATCTAACATATACTGCAAATCCTTCAAGTCTCAGCTAAAAGAAGGCATAATCTGCAGAGATAAGTACATTCATGTTTCCAACTGATAAAAGTCTAAAATCACTATAAGCATTCTTATATATTTTTATTAATGTATTAATACATTAAACCACCAGGGGGACATCACACAACTTTGCCTTACACTGTGTAATGTCAAGCTATTACCTATGCTTTTTTTTCTCTTGCATGCTTTATTTCCTTCATGTACCACTCTTAAAGCATTCAGCAACCAATATTCAATTTCATAATTATGTAAAACACTCACTTTAACACATGTTTTCTCTAGATTAACAAATATAAACTTTCTTTTTCAAATTAATTTTTCAATGATCTATTGAAGAAAAAAAAATCTGATCTCTGTTCACTTCTCTGCCAATAAAAAATGCTGCATTGCATTTCTCAAATCTTTCAGTCAGCATTCTGTCAGTTTCCTAGCACACTTAACAAATTCATTTGCTTCTGACTGTGTTAGTAGACTGCATGTATTTCCAAGCTGGTAAGATGTGGGTATAATATTACATCGCCTTGCAATATAATCTCTAGATTAGAGATCCAGGTTTGCTCAGAATACTTGTGGCAAAACTGAAATTTGGTTCTACTTGTAACACACTAATCAAGTCATGACAAAACTGACCAATGCTGTCCTTAACATTTATAGATAATGTTGTAAGTAGCATAGCTAAACTTTGTCTATCATTAAAAGCCATTCCTGTAAAAGCTGATCTATATAATTATTTACTTTTAACAACTTGACTGGAATTATAGATTGACCAACCTTGACTTACAAGGCTTTCTGGAACTGTCACTTGGGAAAGTACTGGATTTAGACCTATGAGGCACAAATTCGTCAATTTCATTTACTGACTTCCATTATCTTTTGTCTGAAAATTTATGGATGTGATAATGTTTATATTCTGCTCTTTCTCAGAGAACTAAATGGTACTTTTCACTCCAAAAATATATTGCAGTTCCTTGAATACCTTTTAAAAAATACTTTGTTGCAGCTACATTTTATACAATTATTTAAATCTTTTTAATAAGCCATAATCAGTAATGTAATGTATTTTATAAAATAAAACACATGCAGTAAAAATATCTACGTTAATTGATGGTCATTACCTTATTTGGTGGTTCCTTGTGAAAATAGGTAATTTCACCATTGTCTGTTCCTAATAAAGCCAAAAGGTGTTGAATCTTCTTTCTGTCCTCTAATTCCCTATACAGTAATGCATTGAAAACAAAGCAATTTACTTCTATTCCTAAATGCTGAGGTATGCTGCACTTTTTGTTGACTTTAAGGTTCATCTAATCTTTGAAAAGCAAACCTTTTACTTTACATGCTCTAGAAGTTCTTTCTTGTAGAATCTGACTACATAGATCCTCATAAAAACTCTATGGCAAACCAATGGCTGGAAACACAATGTCTTAAAATTAATTTCTCCTCTACTGAAGATATTCTCTAATTTTTTTTTTCTATTTCAGAAAGGACTAATAGAAATTATAGTAGCATCTTATTACTAAGAATGTGAACTTGAGCCTTTAGCCACCAGGAGGCAATGTTACCAAACCATTTTATAAATTAGAGACGGTTTAAAACCAGACTCCTAAATTATTTGGGGGGAAATACCAATGTGATGCTTTGGAAGAGGAGGTTCCATTTTAGTACTAAGACATACATATAAGTAGAAATGTTCGGCGTGACTCCTGAAACCTGTATCAGTCCAGATGGTAATTCTAAAATTCCTATCATCATGAGATTACATAAAGCAGGGGTGTCAAACTCAATTTCATTGAGGGCCGCATCAGCATTACGGTTGCCCTTGGGGGGGGCGGGTGGGTGTGGCTTACTGGGTGGGTGTGGATGGAGTGGGTGTGGCTTACTGGGTGGGCATGGCCAGCTCTACATCCTTCGCATCAAGGGTGCCTGTGGGGGCCTGGGACAGATCTGAGAGTCTCTGGCAGAAGGGGGTTGGACCGGGGCAAGCGCCAAGGCATGGTCCATTTCTTCTTTCCTCACAAAGGGTGACACCTCCCCAGCACGCATCCAGGGGGTGGGGCCAACGTGGCAGGGGCTAGTTCCTCGCTGTTTCTGGATGGCTTTGTGGAGCTAAGGCTGAATGTGTTTCAGCATAGATGGCTACCACAAAATTGCACATTGGCTCCTGGCCGGCCTGGGCCAAGGCCAAGGCCGCGGGGGCCGTTCCCTCACTGTTTCCAGGATGGCTTCGCGGGCCACATGAAACCACTTTGTGGGACGCATTCGGCCCCCGGGCCTTGTGTTTGACATGTCTGGCATAAAGTAATATCCCACAACAGTGGAAAATATCCTCTGTACTTGACTTGCAACAGTGAAAAGCTGATAAATGTGAACTGTCCATATGTGAATGAGGTTATTGGGGTTTTTTTTAAAAAAAAAAAAAAACAAAGGGTCAGGAAAGAATTCTGAGAATCTGATACAATTTCTTGGAAATGATTTTTATAGGAAAAATCATTTCCCTTTGGGGGGGGAAATGTTTGATTAGTTGTCTATTAACTTGAACAAAACAGATACCTCTCTTACTCAACTGTATGTATTTATTTTAAAAATTTCTAAAAGACAATGTTTTATGTACGAGAAAAACAGTATATTTGGAATCCTTCGTTGATATACAGTGTACTGTAGCTCAATTTGTATTCCAGTGAGAAAAGAGAAGCTTCATTTACAGTTTTCTCAAGACAACAGCAGAGGAATGAAAGGTTTTGTAAGTTGATCCTATCACTGACAGTGTGCATCTTTGTTATAGATCTTTTCTCATAAAAGAAACAAATAACAGTTATCTTCCTATGTCATAAAATAAAAAGTAAGGAAGAAGCAAATTGTTCTCATCTGCATTCCATTCTTGTATATCTTATTTTTGTCCATGTACAAAATTCCAATATAATTTCAAATCTGTAGATTCCATCAAAGACAATCTCTTAGCATTTTTCAGTCTTTCAGGACACAAACCTGATTTTCAGTCTATCGTTTTCTGCATAAAGGCGCAGAACCTGCTCTCTTTCCTGAAAAAGGTACACCTGCATGTCACTCAGAGCCTTCTGTAGTTCTGCAATTTCTTCCTCTCGCTGACGCATTTCCCATTGAAGCTTGTGCTGCACAGAAAAAAATATTATTAATTACCTGGCAGCTGAAGCAAAAGTAGAATACAAGTTTTTCTCATTATCACATTCCATCTCAAACCCAAGGCACCTTCTTGGCAGAATGCTAGCATTTTAACCTGTCAAAAAGGTGCTTAGTCAAGTTCTGCAAATTGTAACAAATGTTTTCTCCATGCTTACCATCTCTTGGGTTTGCTTAGAATGGTCTTCTAGACCAGAGGTATCCACCCTTTCTCAGTTGGTGGACCGGAGGGAAAGGGAGGGGGAAGCATTTTACGCACATGTTCACACACACAAACAGGGCCATGAGCATGCGCGACGCAAACAGGGCAGTGCTAGTGAGTGTCACACGGGTGCTAGCACTGCCCTGTTTTCGTCATGCAGTGTTCCATTTGTGTAGCAGCAGTGGTGCTAGTGCGAGTGGGGTGAGCATGAGGTTGCAGACCCCTGTTCTAGACTTCAAGCTTCAATAGCAGTTCAAGTAGCTTTTGACAAACTATCCATGCCTCTCTTAGTCCTATTACAATAATTACTTTCCTCTACACTTCTAATGTTTGTCCTATTTTCTGTTTAGTTCCACTTTCCTTTCTCTTAGCATATTGCATCAAATTCTCCAACTATAAATTGCTTGGTTTATTCTCTTACCTACATTTGGCAAGAGCTGCTACAAATGTTAGTTCTATGGCTTCATCAACAAAAACTTTTAAGAAAGAGGCTAGGAAAGAGTTCTACTTAGGCCTAGCAGAGATACTATGAGCCAGAACAATCGCTATAGTATTGGCTTAGCTGAATCAAAGATCAGTAAATGAATCAAGGGAGGATAAAAGTGCTTTGAATATGACTACAGAATTGCCATGCTAAAGATATCAGCTGTCTGCTTCAGAACGCAACTGCTGTCTCCCATTCTTAAGGAACATAGTCTACAACTAAACTATACAATATGGATCCCCTTCCCAGTAGCATATGCCAGGAAGGGGCTGGGCCATAATATCTCATTTCATATTCCTTCCTTACTTGTATGGAGAAACTTGCTCAACAGATCTCTCAATTTCCTGGGTGCCTCCTTTTTTTTTCTTGGGAAAGTCAGTATCCTAAAGAAAAGCAACACTTCTTCGCACTTCACAGAATTATCTATATTTTTGTTTTTCTCTCAATGTGAGTATAGGGAGTAATAAAATAGGGAATAATAGAGCAGCAACGAAGTTATCAATTACTTAATGTACCATAGTATCTTAGAATTTACCAACACAATGCACATGTGCAAGCTCATGTACACACACACACACACAGAGCACTTTGAACTTCTTTGATATCTGTTCATCTATTAGGAAAACACATAATTATGCAGTGAAAAACATTTTTTTCATCCTGTTTGCTTTCTAAATTCACCTCTCCACCAACCAAAATTATATATTATAAAAAATGAAATATAGTTTTGACTTAATTAGGCCAGACTAGAATGTATTCTCTTGTTAAGACTGTGGATGAAAAAGAAAGATGGAAGCAGGAGAATAATGCTTCAGCCCATATTGATTCTTTTAAAAACTAAGCTGGATAAAGATTTCTTTCACTATCAGTGATTTAAAACAGTTTTTTAAAAGTATGAGATTCAGATAAATATAATGTAGGGAATCAGGTTCCAGATAATTCATATTTCTCTTTAATACTTTTTAGTGAAAATGCCTATGTAGCTTTTGCAGAAAATTCAAAGCAATAGAAGAATCACGACTGCATTATGGAAAAGGACAGAGGAATAAGCCTTGAAGCTTCCTTATGTGGCTTTCCAGATCACCTGTCTCTTGGTGGATTATCATTCCCTTTTTCTTACCTGTTCATCATAAGATGCTTTGTATGCCTCCAACCGTTTTACCAGCTCTTCATGCTCTTCATCAAATTCTGCAATCTTTTTTCGATAGTATTCCAGTAGCTCCCGAGAGGGGCGAAGATAGGCCAGACGTTCATTGATTGAAGGAAGAGGGGTAGAATCACTTTGGTGAGGAGAAGGGAGGACACCAACCTTGGAAGTAGCACGTGGAGTGTTTGATCTGAAGAACATTATTAAATATATATATATATTAAAAAAGAGTTAACTTTACTAAAAGCTTTTAACATGCTATATTTGCATGTAATCTTAGATATAGGTGGCACATTGAGAGGAAAGATGTAATAATAATAACAACAACAACAACAACTTGGAAGGGACCTTGGATATCATCTAGTCCAACCCCCTGCTCAAGCAGGAAACCCTACATCATTTTGGACAAATGGCTGTCCAGTCTCTTCTTAAAAACTTCCAGTGTTGGAGCATTCACTGCTTCTGGAGGCAGGTTGTTCCACTGGTTAATTGTTCTAACTGTCAGGAAGTTTCTTCTTAGTTCTCTCTTTGGTTAGTTTCCATCCATTTCTTCTTGTCCTGCCTTCAGGTGCTTTGGAGAATAGCTTGACTCCCTCTTCTTTGTGGCAACCCCTGAGATATTGGAACACTGCTATCATGTCTCTCCCCCCCCCCATCCTTCTCTTCATTAAACTAGATACTAGAAGGATGGGAGTGGTCCCTAAAACAGGATTCCTACCCACAGCCCAGATTAGGATTGTTCTGCTAAATGAGAACTTTTGAGAGCATTTAGTTTCATTTTATATGGAAAAAGGTAGAAATTAGGTAACCATGCACTTTAATGAAAGAATGCAAACTGTTTACTCTTATGGGTACCTTGCTGGTAACTACCAGGCACAGCTGACAGTTATATACAGAATACGAACCCTTGTATTCAAAACACTTATCTAGGTATTTGTTGTAGGTTTTACTTATACTGATCCAAAAGCTATATTGGGGTGAGAATCTTTCTGGCCTTGGTCTACATCAGGGGTGTCAAACTGCCAGCCTATGGCTGGATGCGTCATGCCGAAACCGTGCCCACCCCATTGCCGGCAATGGAAAAAGTCATGATACGTCACGACACATCACGTGATGTTGTGAGTTTGACACCCCTGGTCTACAGAGACAACCAATACATCATTACATCTCTTACAATGGCAGGATTAAACTTTATTGTATTTTGTAGGAGTTTTGGGGGGTTGGTGTATTAAAGGCATATTATAATATGCAGTTTTAAGCACCTCAAAGAGAAACAGTGGCATGACTTTGAAAAGGGTATCATACCTAAAACAACAAATAAATACATAAACTTCAACAAAGGCCCAACATTTCAGATTTGCCTATTCCTGAGTAGGTTGCTCTGGAAACTAAAAATGGAATGCTGGGAGGTCTATGAATTATGCTTTGCAAGATTCTTATTCTTGAGATAAATGAAGAGGAAAAAAACAAAGACATTTTAAATCAGTACCTAATTCTTTGACTTACTTTTTGGAAGGTGTTCTTGGAGAAGTAGTCATGGCGCATATTCTCACCATCTGCAATGCATTTAATATATTGAATTATTGAGCCAGAAAACATTTCCCACCATTTCACCTTTATTCTAAAAGATCAGAAAACAAAAACATTTCTTAGATCTTTTTTCACAATCTGTCCCTATAGTATATGTTATAATAAAGAACTTAAGGGGATGAGTTACACCAATGGTAGATGTAATTCAACTCAATAAAAATGGAATAGCTCATGAAATACTGTAGATTCAAATAAGATTAGTCCAATTCAGCTCTGATCTGTAACAGCTTTAAAAACTGGTCATTTAAGTTGTCTTGGGTTTATTTGTGACAACTGCTTATAGAGCTATGGCTTGGTTCATATAATGCAACTATGTGGTTTCTTTGGTTTGTCTCAGCATGCTCTATGTCATATTGTGGCTTGAAAGGCATGGTTTATGGATGAATGTCTTTTGTGAACAGAATCAATTGTGGCTTACTTGTAGTTAAGGAACAATGATTGAAACAATGTAGATGTGACAATAATGTTTGTACTATTGGAGCTCCTCCATTAATATTTTAACTTTACTAAAATGTTCCAATCATTAAAAACAAATAAATCCTCCAAAATCTTTAATATAATTTAAGAACTTCATTCAAGCAAGTGAAGTTCAATTCATATTTACTATTCAAATTGTATGGAAAAGTTTTGTTTGTACTCAATTAAATTTAGTTTCTCTTTTCAGCTTGGGTAATCCTCCAATGAACCTCAGTCATTCAACACACATTCCCACAATCCACTTAATGGTTTCTGCCAGAATCCTTGGGATTTATTTAGCCCATTTTTAAATATATAATTTCAGGTCTGGAATACATTAAAGAATATCTTGGTGCATAAAGCCAATAACCTCATCAATACATTTATGTAAGCACAATCACATACAGCTTTTCAATGAACACAATATATGCCAAATATATACTTACAAGAAACTTCATATATTATAACATATACATAAGGGTTTTGCTGTGCACACTGTTCACCATAAAATTAGACTGAAACTACAAACTCAATTTTACTCAAAATAAACAACCAAGATCCCTTACTAGTCTATATTAATAACCATATAAGCATCATAAATCTATTGTTCTATCTCTGAGCATCCAAGACAGCATCTGCAAGTTAGAATGTCCCCAGCATATTCCTTGGTGCTTATGGTATCCAGGTGTCTTGCCCTATACAAATTGCACTCTTTTTTTAAGAGTGAGAAACTAATATGCTGCAGTCCCAACCCGTTTAACAATGTGTTTGAAACCTACATAGACCTTGGAGACAGTCTTAGAAAATAAAATTGTGGATAATTGCAGCAGTGCTTTGTATCAGTCTTTGTATGAAGCAATCCCTACTTTCTACTATAAATACGGAGGATAGTTTGTTTCTGCATAAAGGGCACACACTTTGTTTGCAAAGTTTGTGCTTTTGAAAATTAAGGGCTGATATTGAACTGGATTGTTCGGAAGACACAGAGCAAGTTATTTATTCCCTACAGTCCTGTAGAGTTCACCATTTCACAATGATAAAATAGAGTCGACTTTGTATTTAAATCCTATCAAATATGTAGTCTCCTAACTCTTAAGAACACATACATATATATTATAATCTGCCTAAACAGGAAAGCCAAGGATCTATAACTTGCCTCATCATCTTCTAATCCATTCAAATTAGCAAGATATTAGTAACAGAACTGGAGAGCAGACAGCCTACAATGTTAAAGGATTTGCTATACTATGCATGGTATATAAAACAAAGCCCATAGTAGGTATTGGGGGAAAAATGGCGGTTATATTCAAGATAAGCAAGTGGTGTGCGTGTGTGTGTGTGTGTGTGTATGATGTTTGAAAGGAAGTTTAAGTCCAACAAATAATGGAAGATTCATTGCTGGTAAATTGCTTCTGAAAAGTGACAATTTGCACCCAATAATCTGGAGTTTGGCTACTGAGGGAAGGTTACTACGCAACTGAAAAGGAATCTGACTCTCATTCTCCGCCAGCTCAAATCCCACATCAACTGTCATACTAATGCAGGTTCCCTTAATAAGAACTGGAAATAAAAAATGAAGCACGTATAGCCTAGTCGTTTACTTGGTGGAAACAGTCTGGGTCTTCCAACCATCTGAAAGGGATACTTCTGGTTTAATGTCAAAAAGGACGAAAGCAACCAGAAGCTACACTATTTTCCCCTTATCCTACCAGACCGCCGTGAAACCCCGTGACGCACCCTTCTCGGTCCCATTCGGAACCAGAAGTTTGCACTTTCCTTCTAACGCGCCGCTAACTCCGCTGTTCACTCCGCTGCTACTGCGGGTCTCAACGGAAAAACCAAAAATCAAACAACAGGCTGCGAAAATCCTCCAATCAGGAGAAAGGAAATAAACGATGTCCGATATTTTGCCCAATCACAACCTTTTACTCATCCGCGCGGCTTGTCTGCTAGACTTCTGTGGGTACAGTAATGAAGTCTCGGCTACAGAGTAATGAGAGTCGATACAAGTCTAAATAATTTCCTTGGATCATTTTGACAACTGGAGGAAAGATCTAAACCGATTGATGAACGGAAAGTACGGGTGGTTTTAGTGTAGTTACATAGTCGAAAGCACTAAGTCTCCTTAAGGCTGCCTGGCATTTCCGTTCCTCGTCTAGTAAATAATTTGTGTATCGCTTACTTCCAGAGAAAGACCCTTATTCGCTTTGTTGCACTAGCAAAAAGCTTGTGGCACAATATTACTAGAGATAAGCAACAATGGACTGCCCACAAATTGTCTTTTTATCCTGTGATCTAGGACTTAACAGCACTAAATAGGATAGAATTTAATTTTGAATTTACATGCAGAAGTTAAATCCTTCCTGGTGCAGGATAAGATTAAAACCTTTTTAAAAAAACTAAGTTAATATATTGTGCTATTTTAATATCACTAGTTTTCATAATTTATTTTCATGTGGAAATCCCTTGAAGATTATAATTGACATATTTATATATTTACATGTATTTCCAGGACTCCACCAAAATGTAATTGAGAATATGCACAAGTTCATGAGTTTGATAAATTTAGTATAGTTTATCCTTTTTGATTAAAAATAAAGATTAACAACCACTAGGCAGGCATGTGCTTAATATAGTACCTTATAAGTTGTGTAACCATCTCTGAATACATTAACCAATTATTGTCTTGAACAGGTTTGGCAAATTGGCTACAGGTTAAGTACAGTCAAAGTTAATTGTAACTTTAAAGGTTGTTAGCAATTATGTTAGTAGCATTACTTTTTCTCCTATAAAGCAAAACAATTTTGTATATTGGGAAAAGACTAGGTACAGATCTTATTATTCCATATTTATTACTTGCATTTTATATTTTGTAATTAACATTTTATTACTTCTACTTTGTGATATTGTTATTGCTATTTTTCTGGTAATTGTTCTATAAGCACTGTTGGAAGGTAGTTTATAAATCCTTAAATACATTTTAATCGCTATGTAGAAAAGATTTTTATTTCGTTGCCCAAAGCATAATTTCATTGCCCAAAGCAGAATCCCAGAAGTGATACCACCTTCCAGAAAAAAAGCATGATTTCTAGCAATTTAGGTATTAATTTAGCCCCAGATCTTGTTAGTAGTAAAATATATAACAATAAATGGAACAATCAGCTGCTTGAAAATCCCCTTTCTCTTTGTTTAAGAAATGAAAGTCATTGCAAACCCCCCCCCCATTTCATCTTTATTTAAAGCTGGTAGAAATGGCAGGAAATTTTAGGCTTTGTTTCACAGATTTAGAGAGTACTTCAGGAAAGCACCTAGAAAGTGTTTTACATTATTTGGAACAATGGTACCCTTCCAGATTTGAAGGCACTTAACATAAGAAAGACTTTGGCATATCTCCCTCAAAGAATCCTTTACAGGATAAAAATGAATGAAATCTCTTTTGAAATGAATGAAATCTCCTTTGGCCTACTTCATGGCCACATCCACACAGATTTTGGGACAAAGATTACAAAATGGTTTGCTGTTGCTTCTGTTGTTTTCTTTCTCTGGTGTAGCCTGTAGTCCTGGTGGTCTTCCAACTAAGTACTGACCAAAATCTATCCCTCAGTTGCACTCAATGCCATATTTTTTCTTCTTCTGTGTCTGCAATGTTCTCTTCACCCCAAGAATAATATTGACAAAAGTAATCCTCAGTTGTTTTACAGGTAACATTTTCCCTTTATTTCAACACGGCTGAGGATGTCCAAGACATACCATCACTTATGACCTTGAAGAGCTGTCAGGTGACTGGCAGTGACTTGGAACAGAGGCAGGATAGAGATCAGTAACAGGGCACCAATTTCACGCTAGTGCAGTTTTCTGCTATTTAAAATGCAGGTAAATAGTATTGCCACTACAGTAACCATATTCTCTTGGAAAAAAATAAATGACAAATCTGAAGGGTTCATATATATGTATGTATGCATGTATGTATGTATGTATAATAAAAAATAAAGGGCAAATTTGAAAGCGTTAATAAGACTATTTTTTTAAACTTGGCTTTACAAAGGAAAAAAATAAAACCAAGAAAACTATATTGAATAAATCTGTACTGTATTGTGAAATAAAGGGCTGTCATTTATAATGAATATGTCATTTATAATTGTCATTTATAATTAATATAACAGCTCCTGTAACTACAACTGAACAGCTGGTAGAAGGCCCAGGTCTGGCCCTACTTAGCTTTTTGAGCCACCAAAAAAAACAGGTGAGCCATAATAGATACTTTTTTCAGGAAGAAAACAATTTCTTTGCACGAATATTCTCTTCAGCCGAGAATTGTTTTATGGCATGGAGTTCCAAGTTGCTGAGGGAATGCTAATTACAGTTTTGCAAAAAAAAAAAAAAAAAAAAAGCCCTCTTCTCTCAGGGATCCGATAACCCCCCCCCCGGAAGTTGGTTGAGGGACTGCGAGGGGGCCAGGGCGCTGCGGTGCCGTGTTTTTATGGGGGGGAAGGGACAGGCGGTTACTGTGGAAACAGAGTGGGCGGGGCCTATGGAGAATTCAGTACTGTACTTGGAGAGGCTTGTGGGACTTTCAAGTGGGCGGAGTCCAGGTTTCTCTTTGTCGGCCGGAGAGGAATGCGAGGATAACTGACGGGATGTCTTGTGGGACAGTCAGCTCGCGGCCTCGCAAAGATTGCACGGAAAGGGGCGGGGCGGAGCGGAATCTATTCCCACAGAACCAGAAAGGGGGAAACGAGCTTTCGGCACCGGAAGTTCTTGTTGTAGAACGATTCCGCTGAAAGAAAGACCTGCGCGCAGGCATACATACTCCCTCTCCCCCCCCCACTCCCACACACCCACCCTCGTTCATTCTGCTCCACGACTTCGAATCCCTTAGAGCTCTCGGTTCTCTCCTATCATTTGCCGGGGCATCCATAGCTTCGTCGGATGAGGTGCTGAAGCGGACAACGCAGAGAGAGAGAGAGAGAGAGAAGCGCTTTAGACCGAGAACAGTAAAACACACATACACAACAACAGAGCCGGGACTAGATACATTTTTTGAAACAAGATCAGCGGAAGGATATGATTAGTCGCTTCCGCAAGAGAGGGGATTTAACTGAGACGCGTCACTTCCGCTGAGCCTCAAGAAGGGGAGGAAAAGGAAAAGGGGAAAAAAAACATACACACACGCAAAGCAGCAAATCCTTGCGGAGGGGGGGAGCGAACAAAAACAAACGGGGGCCTGGACCGGCCTGAGGGAGCTGCGGCCTTGCCTTCGAAGGACGGCGCTGCTTCATCGGCCGGGATCGCCTTTGCTCCTCGCTGGGTACCGGGATGTCCCTCCGCCCTCTGGTCCATCTTTAAGCGGTTTCGCCTTCCCTCCTCCTCTTCCCCCATCCCCGCGAGCCGAGCTCCTTCGTCCGGGCCCTGAGGCAGCGGCAGGAACGACGGCGCCGACGCCATGTCGGGGGACGACGACGGCCTCGATGGGCCGCACTACGTGGCAGAATTCGTGCCTCCGCCCGAGTGCCCCGTCTTCGAGCCCAGCTGGGAGGAGTTCAGCAACCCCCTCGGCTTCATCGGCCGCATCCGACCCTTGGCTGAGAAAACGGGCATCTGCAAGATCAGGCCGCCCAAGGTACGCCGGGCAGAAGGGCCGGGCCTGCGGGATATGGATGGAGACGTCTCTGGCGTTCCTCGGGTATCCTCGGAGCTGGGTCTCCGCTCTTTTAAAAAGTTGCTTCCCCCCCCCCCCGTGAACTCCCCCAATGGCCGCCCGCCGGCTCGTCCTTTAATTCGGATGGCGCTGAGCGGAAGGAGGGAAGAGGGACGGCCGGGCGTTTCTCGAGGGTTTGGGACTTTTCCCCCCGAGATCTTTTGATCCTTTGCAGCAATGGCGCCTCTGTCACGATGGGCCGACGCTGAAAGAGCGCAGGGGGGGGGGGAAATCGGGGTTAACTTTGCTTACAGCTCACTAAGCCTCCTTTGAAGCGTTTTGGGAAGCAAGAATGGAGTGGGAACGATCTGTTAGGTGAAGCAGGATAAATTCTTACTCTTAGGGAAGTACAGCGAGCTCGTAATTAGTGGTGTTTAAAATACCGTATTTATGATCAAGTCTAGCCGGCTGGCTTAATTTATCGGGAAGGAGAGATTTTGATTGGCAGTCGGTGTTGATTGCGAAGTGGTGTGGTGGCTAAGTTCTGTCAATCCACGGTAAAAAGCGCTTAGGCTTTTAAACTGTATGCTGGCCTCCATTAAAAAAAAAAGCGCATTTATCTCCTGTATCGGTCTGAGTTCTCCATTGAAATAATTTTGCTTTGTATCTCTTTGTCTAGAACTACATAGCTCCTATTGTACTGTATTTTACAGCCCCAGTAGCATTGCGTTTCTCTACTCATTTTCTTGGTTGTAAATATTTTAAAAATAGTCGGATTCTTTTTCTATTCTACATTAAAGAGCTCTTGTAGGTTAAACCGTCGTGTTAATTTGAAGAAAATCTCCTTAAAAGAGATTAGAATACATAGTCCTAAATAACTTTTCTAGTATCTGATAGACACTCCCCTTCATCACCCAAGGTCAGTCTAGATCAAGGCTTCCATCTTTGCTCCCTTTTCTGTGCAGTAGCAGTTTTATTCACCTTGCTCTTTTTAACTCTAAAAATGATGTGATCAGTTTGAGATTCAGCTCCTTTTTCCTTCTTTTCTGTCTTCTACTCCAATAATCTGGATAATGGGGAAAGCAATTATAAGTCATAGTACTTGCCAGTTTTTTTTCTTTGTCACTTAGTTATTAAGAGTTATCATAACCAAGAATTTAGTCCACGCTGACGGAGTTTTAGGCTTCAGTTTGCAAAGCAGATTGCTTTTCAGGTATAAAAAAAAATATGTGTTTAACATAGAACAACTACAATAAGTAAAATAATTCTTTGGAATGAAAAGTCTAAGCCATGCAGGTTCTTTAGGTGCAGGCAAAAACAGCCATTACATCTGTATCTCTTGTGTTTTTTTCATTAGCTTTGTGTTCAAAGCTATGGAAGTCATGTATTTGGCCTTGTGACATATTACTCTGAAGGAATGCTTATTTTTGGATCATGTCAAGTACATTATATTAAAATATCTGTTGGAATGAAACAATCGTTCACAGTCTTATTCATTTTAATGTTTCATTTTAACTTATTTAACACCCGCATAATGAATAGGTTACATGGTTAGATAACATCTTAAAAAGTAATAACCAGCCACGAATAACAGATGTTCTGATTCATAGTATTAAAAAGTTTAAAATAAACTGTCATTCTATATTCCAGTATAGCTGGCTGCAGTCTAACTCATTGCATAATTACAGATACATTTACTTAGAGAAATGCTATGCTGTTTTAAAAGTCATGAAAAGTAGCAATCACTTTAGTTGTATGAGAGAAAGGGGGGTTACAAAGAAATGAGCAGCTGATGAGTGATATGCCATTTTTAGAGTATTTATAGATAAGTAATTTGGGTCAACATATTTGTAACACTTTTTTTATTAGGAACATGCAAACAGTTCAATGCACTGATTGTTCTGTGTATGGAATGGACAAATTTGCAAAGTTCAGGCATAGAAAAAGATATATGTTCTGGACATGGACCTAAAAAAAACATTTCCAGGATGGGAAACAGAAAAAGTCAAAGTTTTTGATGGAACAAGGCAGCAGCTAAGGAAGGTAGTGGGGAAATGGGGAGAGAGCAGATGAGCTAGTGGAGTGTGTCATGCTTGAAAAGTGGCATATTGGTGCCCTGGCCATGTGGGAGAGGAATTGAAGAGGGTAAAAATACACTACCCTTTTTCTACTTATCATGAAAAATGCCTCTGAAATTTCTCTCCACCAAAATCCAGAACAACACAGATACTTGGCCGAGCAGTATCGTGCCCCAAACAATCAAGTTCAAGTTCAAGAAAGTCAGATTCTAAATAGAGTTGCGACATTGTGAATCCTAGCTTTGTTCTAACAATTTTGTATGTTTTTCTTTCTGTATAGTGATAAGCTACTGTATATGAGTTCTGGAGTTACTAGGATTACAGCATATATAATAGATCATATGAAAGCTTACTCATTTTGTAATAACTTTCTACCTGAAATATTTTCAACTTTTAATGGAATGCTTGTAAATCATTCAAATATGAAATATATATATATATATATATATGAGTGATGTGTTTGTTGTTTTATTGAAGACTTGCATTTTAAATGTAGCATTCCTTGTTTACCCCCTTAGGATTGGCAGCCTCCTTTTGCATGTGATGTGCAAAATTTTCGTTTTACTCCACGGGTGCAGCGCTTGAATGAACTGGAGGTAAGTTTCTAGTCATCGGTATTGGACTCTTTAGAATTTTTTGGTGAGATGTTCCAATGAATGATCTGAAAAGCCCATACAGTTTCTTTGTTATATTGATATAATTATACAAAATAACTCTCCCAGTATTTATGAGTAAATTTTTATTTTATTAAGTGCACATATTAAATAGCTTTTTGGTGCTACAGTAAAAATGACAGTTTACTAGAACTAATTTCTATCTGGGTTCTTTGTCAGTGCCAGTGGCTCTCTTGGACACTCCTTATTATGACAGGAGGAAAGCATAAAGTATTCATTATTTAACCATTATTGCATTCTTGATAGTTCTGCTTTGCAGCCCTTCATGAGTTAGAATATAACACAAGGGCCTGGCTATGATCCTTTTATACTGCAGGGGGAATCTACAGGAATATATTAACCTAAAGCAGTTGAAGTAGAGGAGCTAATTAGTGTATCTTATCTCTTCTACATTATGCAGTAGAGAGCACATGAGAGAAGACCTGATCAGCACTCATGTTTCATGGATTTTGGTGGAACTTAATATTGGTAATGACCAGTTCCATAGTAATGAGTATCTGTGGAAGATGAACCTGGTTCAGACTTAATATTAAGATATAGTTTAAGATTGAGAGGTTATACTGCATTATTTTGCTCTTCTTCCAATCTTGCCAGTATTTGCTTTTATCTTTATCTTGCCTTGTTTGGGCTTTATAAACATGGATTTATTTCAGCTATGACTTGTTTTAAACAAGTCATCTTTAAAGTAGGGTTCCAGCTAATCATTATTCGATTAATCACAGCTTTGATTTCAGACAATTTGAATGATTGCCCTTAATCTCCCCCTTCCCCCAGGCAAGAGAGAAGCAACATCTTTTGCCAAAGTCTCCTAAAATTTACTTAAGAGGAACTTGAAATATGGAGATTGTTATATAATTTTTGGTATACCTGTATATTATTTCTGTCTGTTTCTTTAATGATTTTCCCTGCTCTTTTTAGCCTTCACTAGAGTGTGGAATTTATTCATTTATCATATATTAAGACACACACACATCCTTGCAGACTTCATAGCAACTCCATAAGTTTGATATTTAATGTTTTCTCTGAAACAGCTGAAATGGCCTTTATTCTGTTGTTTCCATTTGTTTTTTTGTGGACAGAGAACTTTATACATCAAATTTATATGATATCTTTTGCTGGTTTGATTAATAGGCAATGACTAGAGTGAAGTTGGATTTCTTAGATCACCTAGCCAAATTCTGGGAACTTCAAGGGTCTGCATTGAAAATTCCAGTAGTAGAAAGAAAAATATTAGATCTTTATTCACTGAGTAAGGTAAGTTGAGATTCTGTAGTGCAGGCATGTCAAACTGCCAGCCCGCGGGCCGGATGCGTCATGCCAAAACAGCGCCTACATCATTGCCAGCAATGTGACGTTACGAGTTTGACATGCCTGCTGTAGTGGTTTGATGTGGGCAAGTGATGGATATCTGAACTAGTTTTCCACTATAAAGGGGGCATAACTCTTTTATAAAGAAAATATTCACATTATGGCCAAGGTAGTCAGTAACATACATCAGTGCATTCTTGTATTCAGAACTGCATTATTTTTATCTAAGGCAGCAAGGATTTTTTGTGCATATATTCTGTATCAGCAAGCTATAAAATATTGTTTTAATCTTTAAATAATTACATAATATATTTCAAGCATTCTTCAAATGTTACACCATTGTAACATTAATTTCATTTGAGAAATTAAAAAATGGATGGGCAGAGTAAGAGATCTGTTGAGATTTTTGAGAAGTTATTTTTCCAATATATCAAAAGATTCATTTTAAAAGTGTTAAATCTTCATTACAGTTCCATAGTTGGCCTAAATTAATTAGTATTGTTTATTCTTGATCAAATCTTTGTCCGAGATTCTCCCAAAACAACATTTCATGTTCCTGCTTCTATAAAGGTCTTTCTGTTCCCTCCCTAGTACATGATACATTGTTACTTCATTATTACTGTTGTGCCTTCTACTTATTTAAAACAGTTTTAGCAAAATGTAAATAAGTCCTCTATTTTAAAATCAGTTCATTTGTAATCAGCTATGTTTTCACTTTTTTCAAAGTCTATCCTTCACAAATATTTTGGTTGTTTAAACCATAAATATTGAGTTGCACAGAACAACAACAAAAATCATTTTTGCCAAATAATAATGATGGCAAACTTCATTTTGAGCATACTATACATGCTCTACTTTGCTGCTTTAAGACTCTTGATATAAACTCTCACATGAATTCCAGATTTTCTGAATTAGATAATTGCAAGTTAAATTAATGTGTTTCAGAACATTAATCAGAACTAATCAGACTGAATGTTTCAGGCTCTTGTGTGGTTAAATGGCAGATGTGTGTGCAAACTGCTTAGCTAGTTATTTACTTATGTAGATAAGAGAGAAATTTTGGAGGATGAAAATGTCTAGATCGTTTAAATGATGTTTGGAGTTTTATATCGCAGATGTAACCCTAACCCTAACCCAATCTTGATCTGTAGAACTCTGCAGCCACATTGTTTTTAACTTTTGTTTTAGATTGTTGCCAGTAAAGGAGGATTTGAAATGGTCACTAAAGAGAAGAAGTGGTCTAAAGTGGCAAGCCGATTAGGTTATTTACCAGGAAAAGCAACAGGTTCACTTTTGAAGTCACACTATGAACGGATCTTATATCCTTATGAACTTTTCCAGTCTGGTGTCAGCCTTATGGTGAGAGTATTTTATTTGCAAGAAATCAAATATACATTTTTTTTAGTGTGTACAGGGAGTCCTTGGCTTACAAGTTCATTTAGTGACCCGTTTGAAGTTACAATGGCACTGAAAAAAGTGACTTGTCCGTTTTTCACACTTACAACCATTGTAGCATCCCCATGTTCATGTGATCAAAATCCAGACACTTGGCAGCTGATTCATATTTATGACGGTCACAGTGTCCTGGAGTCATAACCTTCTGACAAGCAAATTCAATGGGAAAGCCAGATTCACTTAACAACTGTTACTAACTTAACAACTGCAGTGATTCACCCAGCTGTGGCAAGAAAGCTCGTAAAATGAGGCTAAACTCACTTAACACATGTCTCATTAGCAAGAGAAATTTTGAGCCTCAATTATCATAAATCGAGGATTACCTGTATAAGGTGGACATGTTGTCTAATGTGCATTTACTTTACTTAAAATATCTTGCTAATGAGAACCATATTATTTGGTTCTTTATTCTCTGTATGTGTATTTTTTTAGCTAGATAGGATTGGAACATTGTTGAAAGAAAGTCAAACATGAAGGATTTTGTTTGTTTGTTTGTTTTTTTGGCTAAATAAAAGCATTGGGAAAATCTGTTACGTTTCATGGGTGAATCTGTCCAAATGACATATATAATGTGTCACTATTGGCAGGCCTTTTTCTCTCAGTAACTATGTACAGTTTGAAACCAGAGTGACATCCCAGATGTAATCAATCTGTTATTGTTTTGTGTGGTGGTTCTTTAGGGCATCCAAAAGCCAAACTTGGATCTAAAAGAGAAAGTGGAAGTTGAAGAAGTTGCTGTTGATGTTCAGTCTCCTCCAAAGCAAGCTGCAAGAATGAATGTTGTGCTGAAAAGAACCAGACGCATCAAGTCCCAGGTATTCAGGCTCTTGGCTGCTACAGATAGATTGCTTTTAAGTTTAGTGTAGTGCAGAAGCATTAAAAATGCTGTGGCTTTTATCTGGTTGTAAGATTTACATAAGCAGGCCACCGTGAGTCTTTTCAAAGTAAGTATGTTAGATAAAAATTCAGTAATCTAATTAATAGTTCTTAAAAAAAAAACAGATTTTATTTGGGATAGCTGTTGAACTTTGCATGAGCATCATCTGGTATAGCATATGATTCAAACTACAAGCTGGGAAGTTTGTTTTTCTCTAAAATAAACTTCCTTTGAGGCATTGGGCAAGCTAATATCTCAAGCTTAAGTCTAAACTTGCTGTCTTATGATATAAAGTATGAAATGTTCTATCTTATACTAATTAAATATGTTTATTGAATGACATCAAAACATTTAGTACAACATTCACAACTGTTATTTCTAAGTTTGCTATATATGTTAATCTTTGTGTGTCTATAATTTGGGTGTTCACAAATTCTCTGTGTGTATATGCTTGTGCTATATCAGCATAAATAAAAGACAAGAAGTTTGGGTTCTACTCAGACTCTATTCAGATTTTTAGTGTGAGAAATAGTAAAACATTTTACAAATACATGGTTGCCAATTAAAGTAGGAAAATGCTGGCAGCAAGGAGTATTTTCTAGACAGTGTCTGGCTCTTCTGTATAATTTTCCCTGTCTTTAGTAAAATAATTATTTCCTCCAATGTGAGTTAGGACTTTTCATCAGAATTATGTGCTACCAATAATTATTTAAATTCCATTCTCTTCCTGTTTGACACAAAGAAGCCCAAGAGAAAAGCTGTGTGTAGCTTTGGCCACAAGTTCTCTTCCCTACAATTCTTAAAACTGATGTACAGCTGAGTTACTCAAACACAACAGTTGTATATGTAGGAATAATAGAAGGATCAGACAAAAAAGGGAATAAAGTTAGGTAAACCACAACTATGAGTTGTGAACTTTATGCTTGAAGAGTCCTACATTTATTGTCAACATTTCATTCAAATTTCTAAGAAAAAATGATTTTGATTTTTTGTTATTTTTCCCTTGTTTACTTTCTCAGGAAGTTCAAAACTCTTTCATTATAGGTCTGTTTGCTTCCTATCCAATTCTCAGGGTTCATCTTGTTTTGCAGCTGTTTTTGGAATTTGATATTTAAATTAGTTAGACAATTCCCACTGGCATACTTTTGTAGATTAGAGTGGTTTTCTCCAGAGTCTGCTTAAGTTTTCCTTCAAGGTTAAGGCTAAAATATATATTTTTAAAAATCTTTTCAATTCTTTAAATGTGGATTTTATAATGCATTTGTTTTGAGAAATGTCCTTTAAAGTTGTGTGCCTTTTAAAATGTATTAGTTAAGGCTGAAAGAGATCATTTCATTTTAGCATTTGAATGGCCATTTTTCCCAAATTGGGAAAGTGTATGAAAGACAAAAATAATTTCAGTTGTATTTATGTAGCTTTAATAGTAAAATGTTGATAGTTTTAAGGGATATTTGCACTGTGTTTTTACAGGCAATTCAAACAAACAGCCAAAATAAGCATCAGTAACTCCACCCCCTACTGTGAAAATTATAATTAAAATATCAGGATACTTCCCCAGTAATCTTTGTACCACAGTTTCTTAAAACACAGTTACTGTCACTAATTAGCCTTAATTGGGATTGTTGTAGAACAGAAGTAGTCAGGTTGTGACCTTGTTATCTTCTGTTAAAACTGAGTTGGGTAGATAGAAAACTTGGAGAGGCAGTCGTAGCCACAACAAAAAATGACCCAGTTACAAGCTCTTTTGTTATATTAGTAAGGTCACCAACTTTTTTACAATGAAAAGGAGGACACAAATAAATTGAAGAAAAAAATATTGTAAATAAAAGAAACATTTTATTAATTGCAACAATAATACAGGATACACTATAATATGATAAATGCATAATAAAAATATTTGTAACAATAACATTTTATATTGTAATTATGCTTACATGCCATGCCCCTGCCCGCAGCCGCCCCACCAACATTGCTGCCCCGCCGTGTAGAGCGGGCCCCACGACTCCCAAAGCACCAGCTGTGCCGGCTCCGGCCCCGGGGGGCTAGCCTGCCATTGACACACCCCGCCTGCAGCCGCCCCACCAGCACCACCGCCCACCCTGCACAGCCCCATGTAGAGCAGGTCCTGCGGCTCCCACAGCACGGGGGCAGCCAGCCACCGCCACCCATCACACCTCCACCCACAGCACCCCTGCTGCCCCTGCCTCTTGCGCCCGCAGCCATTATTGCCCTAGCAGGGCGGAAGATCAAGAGAAAGTTACCGTGGCGTCGCCACTGCAGTCTCCTCCAGGTATCTTTGGGACTAACTAGGATATGGTGTAGTTGGGTAGCAGGGAGGGGTGCAAAGTTCCTGCCAATTCGCCTTCGCTGCAGACAACTTACATGTGCAAAGTTTGCCGGCTGGGTGTTTTGGGGCGCTCAGCAGCAATTCCTATTGGCTTTTGAAAGCTAATAGGGGGAATAGCACAGCTCATGCAAAAGTTGAAAAAAAAACCATCAAAAGAAGGTGCCGGAATGCCGTTCTGAGCGTTATATGAGGAAAAAAAAGCCCCACAAATTAGTCTTCAAATATTGAAAAGGAGGACATGTAGGAGGACACTTTTCAAGGGAGGACAAAACTTTAAAAAGGAGGACTGTCCTCCCTAAAGGAGGACGGTTGGTCACCTTAATATTAGTATGATTTGAATATTCAGAACAAAATTAAACAATTAACTATTTTCAGAAATAATAGCCTTGTGGATAAAATTATAAAATTATTTCAAAATGTTAAGAATCCGGCAAACAATTCTGTATGTTTGAGAATTTCTGTATGCAATATCTGGATGTGAAATTGATCAATTTTTTTAAAAAATGTAGTTACTAATAGAATTGTGGTTTGAATCAAAACTGGTTTTGAATCTTTTTTCTTTTAAGCAGTTACTAGGTTTTAAAATTGGATAAGGTAAAACAAAATCATTTTAATCTGATTTTTCTGAGTCTCGGTTTGTCTTCTGGTATTCCACATCTTTTCACCACCAAGATTTTCAGCATTTTCTTAAGAATATGAAATGTTAAACATTTATTTAGAAAATCTGTTTAAATATTTAATTTGTGCAAAAGAAAGCAGTTATTGGATGTATAAGGAATTGTAGGCTAGAATATCAGATAAACAGCTGATGCTTATTATGGGCTATAGGTAATTGTATTTTTGCTCATGAGATACATAATAGAATATACATGCTTTTGGATCTAAAGCAAATTAGGATATAAATGACATTAAATAAAATATCAAAAAATTGTATTCTTATTTTTTCAACACTTTCCTTTAATAAATAATATCTTTTTTCCTAACTGATTGGGAAAAGTTCTATTTAAAATGCATAGTAGATGGTGTCTATATGTAGAAGTATGCAGTTTAATTATCTTCTATTAGTAGTTTGAATGCTATTCCAAGAAGGATAATTTGTTTCATTAGTCTGAAACATGTTGAAGATAGTGTTGGAAATTAAAATAATGTTTATCCTTTGAGGTGTCTTAATAGCATTGTTCTTGAAAAAGATATCTCTGAGAGTTGAATTTGATCCAGCTCATAACATTTAGTCATCCAGCATGGAAAGTAAATACTTTCAGCCTAAATACAAATGGTGAGTTTATGTAATCTTGTCTTTAGGCAGAGGCAGGAGAGATGAGTAGAAATACTGAATTGAAGAAGCTTCAGATATTTGGAGCAGGACCAAAGATGATGGGATTGGCATTGGGGACAAAGGAAAAGGAAGGTAAGATTGCAATTCAATTAACTGTTGAATTTTTATTATTGGGAATGCAGAATTTTACCACCATTCATATAATTCTTAACAACTGGTATAATGTTATGAGTGGCTCGTCCCACTCGTGCTGGCAGAGGAAGCATACTGCAGGTCCCATTAGCCCGATTATTCTGGTTGGTGGGATCCAGCAGAAGGGCCTTTTCTGCTGTTGCTCCTGTCTTCTGGAACATCTTGCTCCGCCCCAATATGAGGTTGGTCCCAACCCTTTTATCCTTTCATAAAGGCTAAAGATGTGGCTCAAAATGGGGAAACAATACAGTGGAGATGGTTGATCGAGTAATAACACATCCCACCCCCCCAGTCCACCCCACCCTCCCCATATGTCCTTAGATTTTAATGTTTGATTTTAATATATTTATGTTTTAATGTATATGTATAGACATATTTTAATTACTTAAGCTGCCCAGAGTTACTCTATGATAAGTTGGGCAGTCAATAAATTTTATAAATGAAGAAATAAAATGATTAAGATATTTTCAGTCCTGATACTGTAAAATGTTTATCTCCTTAGCTTCGTTTAGTATTGTAAATACTGGATATTACACAGTTGTGTATATGTAATTAGTTGTCATTTCTTGGAGCAAATGCAAAATGAATTATTGTGAGGCTTTTAAGGTATCCAAATAGTGTTGTGGCCTCTTGTAAATTCCATATTCTTGGTTTAACAAAATAATGGGGTATCTGTTAAAATGGCATTATTTAGGCATAAAATTGTGAATGAACTAGTAAGTAAGGGTTTATTGCTGTTGGAAAAGATACATTACTGTACATTTTAAATTAAATTTAATTGGGAAGGATTAGGTAAAAGACATTATCTTGGTGTAGGGTTGTGGATGCTTAGGATATTCTGTTTGTGAATCTAGCAACTGCTGACCAAAACGAGCTTCTGCAATTGTATATCTGGATTGGCTTTTCTCAATCCATTCTAAAAACACATTTCTGGGAATGTGTTTTTAGAATGGATGCTTTGGTCTGAAAATCACGATCCCCAGATTTCCCACTTTGCAATAGACTGATTTGTGCCGTTATCCCCACATTAAATAATATTAAGGGAAAAAAGCTAGAGATCTGTCCTACCCATATTTTTCTGACTTCCATTTTTTTAAATTATGAATTTTTTAAGATGAAAGAGATAAATAATTGAGAACCTGTTTTCGATTCCCTTGGCAAAATGTTTTGTGAACTGCTATGTTGTTGCCCTTGTTGCAGTCATGTGACTAATGGGTCATTCTCTTTTTCAGATGATGTTCCTCGGAGACGCAAAGGTACCAGATCTGAGGCTTTTGGTATGCAGATGAGGCAGCGGAAAGGGGCACTATCTGTCAACTTTGTAAGTTTGCTTTACAACATGTCACTCATTGATACCTTGCCGCTTGTCTAGGCTGGGAAGATATAGGTAAAGGAATTTGAAAATAAAATGCCTTCATTTTATTAAAGTTGTTTGAAAATTGGGGAGGTAATATCTATTGCTGTGTTTATGAATTGTAGTCCATTATTAAAATCTGTAGTTCAGTCTATAGTTTTTGAAGTCCAGTTTTTACTCAGACTAAAACTCTAGTTTGTGCATTCTCTTCTCAAAAACTACTGACAATGTGACAAAATGTTTTATCCTCACCAATAAAGTGTTGGACAGCTGCCACGTTTTGCCTACTAGTGTTAGATTTTATTACCACTATGTTATGGCTAGGGAAAGTTATTCAATTACTCATTTTCTGCATTGTTATCAAGTAGAATTGGGTGCTGTACTTTATTACTAGATGTTACCAATATTTCAAGAGCCTGTGTAAAATGAAATGAAAATATTACCCTTCCAAATTTTGGAGCCCGTGAATATAGATCTAATTCAGGTAGTCCTCATTTAAGGACAGTAATTGGGACTGACAACTCCATTGCTAAGCAGTACAGTTGTAAAGTCCAATGTCAGGTGACCATACCAACCTAGGAAAATATTAGCAGTTCCAATTGCTGCTGTTAGGCAAAACTGCATTCGTTAGGCCTAATATCACACGATTGCCATTTTGACCTACTACTGGCTTCCCCAGTGACTTTGCTGGTAAGAAGCGGGCAATGAAATGGTGATCACAGGACTGCGAGATGCTGCAACCATCATAATTGCAAGGCAACTGCTAAGTGCCCAAATCATGATCATGACTACAGGGATACTGCGATGGCCACAACTACAAGTTTTAAAACTCATTACAACTCAACAGATGTAAAACTCATTCAGCACCATCATAAGTTCAAAAAACTTTTGAACTAGTAGTTGTTAAATGAGGACTACCTACACTAAGTATGAATTTTTATTTTATCCTAGATAGATTTTCCATTTTTGATCCTAACTAAGCGATCTGACCCTAACTGAATATTTCATCTGTTGTAGTTATGAATCACTGGATACTTGTGTTATGAGCCATTTTTAATAATGAATTTTCCCTGTTTGTGACTCTACAGGTTTTTAAATATTGAAATCCAGTATATGTTTTACTTGATTTCTGTAAACTCCTGGATTGAATATTGTTTAAATATAGAAACAAAAAAAAAACTGATAGAAGAAAAAGACCTAGTAGTCCACTGAGTCTGTCATTTGGGTTTTTATTTTATTTTAATTTTAATTTTTTACTTTTTGTCAGATGATGAGCCTGTGTTTATCCCAAGCATGTTTAAACTCAGTTACTGATGATTGACCCACTGTCAGCCTGAGCTTGACTTTTGGATTGCAAAGATATACTGTGGTTTGTTTAGTTTGGGCCTAATGTGTAGTATAAACTCAGCTGTTGTGCTTTGCAAACTATATATTATTGACTTAGTATGGCCTCTGAACCATGCCTTTGTGGCTTATTTCACAAATCAACAAATTGTTAGAGCAAACAAGAACTATAATGCTCAAGTCTAAACTTAATTTGCTTTCTGAATAAAAAAATAAAATCTAGTATGAGCTAAGATTTGTTAAAGAGCATGGCCCTGGATTTTAAAAATTGAATTGTAAAGTTCTGACAATGTTAAATTTCTCACTAAAATTATAGGTTACAATTATAGGTACATTTTTCATTAAAATGTACTAAAATTCAGAAATGCAACTACCATTGGCAAATTCATACACAAATATTTCATTAATATAAAGATAAGGGAATTAGATTTTTAACTAAAGTATCTCCACAGGGGATGTTTATGAATGTAGAAAACAATTCAACATTGAGATGTTTTTATATATAGTAACCCATTTCAAGTGTCCAAAGCACCATTTTGAGCATCTTGGAAGTGGTTTATAGCAGCAGTCCCCAGCCTTTCTGGCTTGGTCGACTGGGAGGGGGGGAAGAGGCGATGGTTCCATGTGAGTGGCAGACTCATGCAAATGAAGTGCACACGCAACGTTCCCCCTGCCACTTGCGCAGCCAGGTTCCGGGCTGCAGCCTAGGGTTTGGGGTCCTCTGCTTTATAGCTTGGAAAAGGATATTTTCTCCTCAAAATATCTGGAATGCTGAAAGCAAGCTATTTTTTCCCTTTATGGAGGGACATTGTGAACTCCAAAGGGTTCACATATCCCTATTTAAAAATAGGGATATGTGGATTAGAGAGCCAGTTTGGTCTAGAGAGCTAGTGGTTAAGGCATTGGGCTAGAAAACGGAAGACTAGGTTGAAGTCCTGCCTTAGCCGTGAAAGCCAGCTGGGTGAGTTTGGGCCAGTCCTTCTCTCTCAGTCCAATAGGGTTATTATTGTGGGGAAAATAGAAGAAGGAAGATGTGTTGGATTGTTTCTAAAAATAAAAGTGGGATACAAATAAATAAGTTCAAATTTGTAAGGCAAACATTGCTATCTTTCTATCTCTGACCTCAGTAGCAACTCTCCCTTTTATGGCATTTGTTTACTAGGAAGTAGATTTCTGATTTCTTTAGAATTTGTATGGGAGTTGGTGCAGATGTACAACTCCATCCCTCATTACTGTCCACTGTAGAGAACCAGATGTTTCCCATTTTAAGTTTTGGAAATTAACTGTGGCATGAAGGATAGAAATGCATTTATGTAATAACTGTCGGATTATATATAATGTCATGAAATTACAAGAAGTTTACTTTTCTCCAGGTTGACTTATACGTCTGCTTGTTTTGTGGTCGGGGAAACAATGAGGATAAATTATTGCTCTGTGATGGGTGTGATGACAGTTACCATACTTTTTGCTTAATACCTCCTTTGCCTGATGTTCCCAAAGGTGACTGGAGATGCCCCAAATGTGTTGCTGAGGTACAGTTTTTCTGACATATACAGCATAGCACAAAATACTCATATTGCCAGAGAAAAATGTGTGGCTTATTTGATTCATTCATATGCATGTACACACATACACACAAGGAAATCTCTGTTAATTATGGCTATCTAGGCTTCTATAGCAAATGTGGTAATATCTGGCATTTGGTGCATTATTTTTATGTTTCTAATAGAAGGGGCTTTCTGTAAAATAATTTTGCAGAATACAAAATAGTAAGTATAAGGCTTAGAGAGCTTGTAGCTGAAAAAAACTTGAGAGCTTAGCTTACTTCGAGATGATGCTAAGGAAGCTGTGGAACATGCCGCTGAATGACTGTGGCAGATATTGGTGTCTCTTCAAAATTCACAAATTGAGCTTAGTTTGTTTCTTAACCTTCTTATTTCTATAATGGACTGCAGTAAGTGCAAGCTTTAGATTTTGGAAAACGTGCCTATCTCTTAGATAGTCTAGTTGGCCCCTCTTCCTTAAATCCCAGTCTAGAATTGTTTTATCTGTAGAAATTAATTGCAAACTTTATTTTTCTTAAAATTTGGTGAGAAAAAGATAAGAGATAGTCTGACGCAGTGGTTCTCAACCTTTTTATACAGCGACCCCGGTCATAAGGACGCGGCGCGCATGCGCGGCGCCGCCCCCTGAGGGGAAAAAATGGCGGATCGCGTTGTTTGGCGACCCCCGTAAAATGGTCGTTTGACCCCAAATGGGGTTGCGACCCACAGGTTGAGAACTGCTGGTCTGACGTAATAAATGCTACTTTTCTTCTTCTAGGAGTGTAACAAACCACGGGAAGCCTTTGGCTTTGAACAAGCTGTTCGAGAGTACAGCCTCCAAAGCTTTGGTGAGATGGCAGATAACTTCAAGTCGGATTATTTCAATATGCCAGTTCATGTAAGTGGGTCATTGTTAATATCTTCATGACAGCAGGTTATATGTGTTGTATTGAGGGATATGGTAAAATTCAGCATGATATGGTCCAACCTGTTTGTAAGTGAGTCCCTCAGATTCTGCAAGTTGTAGAAAGTTTTATGAATAATTTATTTGACAGTTGGTATATTTTTACGACTTAAATGCTTTTAGTTTTCTTTTAGAATTATATTAATTTTATAGAAATTAGAAAAGGGAAATTGAGTTTTTCAGGACACCGTGGATTATTGATTGTTTAATGGCCAGGATATCAGAGCTCATTGGTGCAGTCATGTAAAAAAGGTACTGTAGTTCTCTCCAAAATGGCAGATGTTTACGCGATATGCAGAAAGCCTTTTTCTTTAAATTCCAATCAGCATTACCATAACTTCGCCAAACTTTGAATGTGACCACCTTAATAAAACTTGTCACAGCAAAGTTCTTCCTAAGTCCTGCTTATCTATCTTACAAACTTTTCATTGGTGTTATCACGAGATTCATATCTCATCTTTGTTTTGTTCAAGACAGCATACATAAAACTCCTATCTCCTGTTTTTGCTCCAGCAAGTGCGACTTTTTGAGGTCGGTTAAGCTGAAAGAGTGGCCCAAAGTCAACCAGCCGGCTTTTTTTACCTAAGGGGGAACTAGAACTCATGGACTCCTAATTTGCAGTTCAGCAACTGTTGCTCCAATAGTCTATGAATCTCTTCTTTAAAGTTAAAATAACAGCATAGAATTCAACTTGTATTTTCAGCTGCACTGTGTGAAAAATAGCCCAGGACAAATTATATTAAAATTGCCTAAAGCCCAAAGAAAATGTACTGATGCTTTCTTTACATCTCTTTTTATCAATTATGAATACTGACCCTACAGCAGGGGGTCTCCAACTTTGGCAACTTTAAGACTTGTGGACTTCAACTCCCAGAATTCCTCAGCCAGCTTTGCTGGCTGAGGAATTCTGGGAGTTGAAGTCCACAAGTCTTAAAAGTTGCCAAGGTTGGAGACCCCTGCCCTACAGTATGCATTAAAATGCAAACAATTTAAATGTGTGCTAAGAAAAGTAACACAAATTAAGTTATAAGTACTTGCAAGCCACTTACTATGGCTTGCAGACTTCGAAACCCGAGCTCCTCTTGATGGTTTTTCTCCTGGTCTTTTCAGATGGTTCCTACAGAATTGGTGGAGAAGGAATTTTGGCGACTTGTGAGCAGCATTGAAGAGGACGTAATTGTGGAATATGGAGCTGATATCTCATCCAAAGATTTTGGAAGTGGCTTTCCTGTAAAGGATGGGAGGCACAAGCTAATGCCAGAAGAGGAGGTGTGGCCAGGATATACAACCTTGATGTAGTTTGCATGCTAGAAGGCAATATTTTAACTGGGTTTAAGCTTAATGCATTTAATGATTTTCCAATATTGAGAAGAGATAAGATGTTTAATGTACAGTTTAATGTTCTTTCTGTTGTTCTGTTGGCTGTAATTGCATCTGGCATCAGCATGCTGGGTTCCTATGAGGACTAATTGATGTGCCTGATCTGTATTGCATAGTGCTGAGTAGAATAGTCAGCCCATAGATGTGGGTTTGTAGGGATGTGTGAACTGTAATTTTGCTTTGGATTCCATACTTTGGCCAACTAAGGAACGTTGGAGTGATAGTGCCAGTGTATGGGATGGAGAATAGAGAGTTCAGAGGCAAGAGCAGGATATACTGTACTTATATGGCTTATTGAATGCAACTGGTCTAGAGCTGGGCCCTACACCCATAAGACAGAATTTAGAATGAGGCAGTACATTATGGCATAGCCCAGTGGTGGCGAACCTAGGGCATGCGTGCCAGAGGCGGCACTCAGAGCCTCTCTGTTGGCACGCGCGCCACTGCCGCCAGCAGCAGGTCCATCAGGCCGCCCCCGGAGCAGGAGTCACGCCCAGCACAAAGGAGGCGAAGCGGCCGACTAGCAAGCTCGAGTAGAGATGGTAGAGCAGAGGTCACCAACCATTGTCGATTGGTGGACTGGAAGAAAAGGGAGGGGGAAGCATTTTCCATGTGTGCATGCGCGCACCAGGCCGCAAGCACGTATATGCTGCAAATGGGGCGGGGCTAGTGCTTGCGTGATCCTAGCCCTGCCCCATTTTTTTGTGGTGCAGCGCCTTGTATCGTCACCCTGCAGCGCACCGGCAGCCATTTTTGTACCTTGCAGCATGGTGGCCCATTTTTCCGCCCCCAGTTTTTGCGTGCCAGAGGCAGCACTCAGAGATGCCTCCCTGCCCCCCCCCTCCCCGAGGGCACCACAATGCTGATGCGGCCCTGGCACTTTGTGATAAATTAGTGGGTTTTGATTTGCGGTTTGGGCATTCACTCTAAAACGTTCGCCATCACTGGCATAGCCACAAAATATAAATACTAAATATATTTGTGATTTTGAGCAGCACACTGATTTCTTCCTGGTCACTTTTTTATGGACTTTGTTTTGTTGACAGGAATATGCTCTTTCTGGTTGGAATCTTAATAACATGCCAGTCCTGGACCAATCCGTCCTTGCACACATCAATGCTGATATTTCTGGCATGAAAGTGCCTTGGCTTTATGTGGGAATGTGCTTTTCTTCTTTCTGTTGGCACATTGAAGATCACTGGAGCTATTCCATCAATTACCTGCATTGGTATGGAGGGTGTTTTATATATATATGCTTCTAATGATAACAGAGATAAGGATTGACATTGTTTTCCCCCCCCCCAGCAAAGTGTAAATCGGGTCTTTGCATAGGATTGAAGAAAAAGCATTTGTCACAAGTGTCTGAATATAGTGTGGGAGTGGACATGTGTTCTCACAAACCATATAGCTACATTCTAGTACTGGAACATGTATGTTGTGGAAATATCAGTAAGAAAAAAAATTAGATTAGAAATTAAATTTGATCCACAGTTGGGTTCCCATCTTATAACTGGTTTGCAAATGTTCATGTTCTTAAATATGATTTGTGAAAGTGGCTAGGAATATTAGATAGGCTTTATGTATATTCCTATGTCCCATACATTCCTATATGCCAGGAAAGAGTGGCTTCTGATTTTCCATTTGTAGTTAAATTATAACCTCCAATATCGTCACAGTTTGCTCATCCCTAGCATTTAGTTCAATCTAACACAAAAGATTATGATCTGATCTGATTATGCTTTAAATTAAAGCTATTGATGGTCTATAAAATAAATAATAAAATATGCTGGGAAATATTTTAAATACATCAGAAAGATAAAGTTTCTTTTCAACTTTTCAGATGCGCAGAGTAAATACTGCAAATTGAATAAATACTTTTTATCATTTTATATAATTTGGGTTGGTTGCAGCTAAATTATGGAAGATTATTGTTTTCTTTCTCAAGTCCATGCAGGAAGCTAATGAGCAAGTTGTCAACTCTTGGCCTGGCTGCAGCACTTTTTCTGATATATATTTGCATTTGTTGATTATAATTGGAAGCTTCAATAGAACATATTTTATACCATATGTTTTCTTTTGGATAATGGACCATAGGGGGGAACCAAAGACGTGGTATGGAGTGCCTTCCCATGCAGCAGAACAACTGGAGGCCGTTATGCGAGAACTGGCTCCTGAGTTGTTTGAGACCCAGCCTGATCTTTTGCACCAGTTAGTCACTATCATGAACCCCAATATTCTTATGGAACATGGTGTGCCTGTAAGTAATGCAGACTCTTTCTAAGTTTAACAGTTTATGCGCCACAGAATAAATTAGAAGATAATTGTTAAAACATTTCAGTTCATTTTCATATTCTGTGTGCCAGATAGTGTCTTTGTAGATCCACCTATGGATATTCTGTAATCGTTGGTTTTCTGAATTATTCTGCCTTTCAGTACTGTTATTTGTAGACCCCTTTATGGTCAGAATCTAAATACACTATTCATTCCTCTTTGAAAAAGCAATTTTAAATCTAGTGCACCTGTCTTTAGAGAGGATGGACCTGGCCATAATACTAAAGTGAACTCTAAATTTAGTATATTTTTCATGCAACAGACAAAATTGGTTCATACAGTGTATGCTTCCATGTGTGCCTAAAATTGCATTTGTCATCCTGCCTAGTCTAAAATCTATTCTAGATTCTACTTTGGCAGTTACCCATTTCCCCATTAGTATATTGAGGGTTTATTCTGCATGCTTTATTTATATAAAGACTAAATTGGCATGGTACAGTTTACTTGATTCCTAAAACTAGATAAAGCTTTGGATCATTTTCTTCAATGAATAAATGAACAAGCATGTATTTGATTTATTTGTTTAATTGGTTTCTCTTGTCTAGTTTTAGCACATGAAAGATTCACAGCTACTGTGAATCTTTTTAGCAGAAACATAGGATATAAATATTTAAAGACATGCTTGTAGCTGAGGTGTTACCTTTCATTTTCAGTTATGTAAGTGTGACTGTTGTGATCATGTAGTATGCTACATAAAAGTTGCAGTTCAGGTTTGGTAGAAGTTGCAACTTGCACAAGCGATGCTGTTTCATTTATAAATTGGCTCAGGATCTAGCACTGTATAGTAAATTGCTATAATTTAAGTTGAACCCTTTAAGAACAATGCATTTAATATTTCAGAAATAAGGTTACATAACATAGATATATGAGCATCAATCTTTTTTTTTTAAACAGGCATATTTTGGAATTAAAAAGTATTGCCAACTGCTAAATGATATTCAAATCTCTTTTATATTTTATCAACAGTTTCTCTATTCTTTGTTAAGAAAAATAACATATGCTGCAATCCAAAAGCTTTTAACCTTGAAGTAGGATTTATCTTCCAGGTCGAGTAGCATGGGATTCAAAGCACATGTAAAAATGAAATGGAATCTCTTTTATATTCTGTGCCAGTTGAAGTAGCTGCTTGTTGAATAGAGTCTCTGAAGTCCTTGAAGGAAGTACAGGAAGAAATGATGTGCATGTGATACAGGAAAAGTTCAAGCACATGTTAGGTTTCCTTGCTAGAGCTAGCATCTAGAGCAATGGTTCTCAAACTTTTTAATGCCGCGACCCCCAACTGGTCGTAAGTCGAGGACTACTCAACCGGTCGTAAGTTGGGGACTACTCAACTGGTGCAGCACTGTTTGCAGAATGGGACTTTTGGCGGGCTCAGTAGGGCAGAGACAGCCTGGACAATTCCTATTGGCTTTTGAAAGCCAATAGAATTAGACTCTATTCAAGAGAGGCTATTCTATTGGCTTTAAAAGCCAATAGAATAAAAGTGAGTAGCACAGCTAAGGAAAAGGGGGAAAAAATGGTGGACTGCGTTGTTTGGCGACCCCAAATGGGGTCCCGACCCACAGGATGAGAACCACTGATCTAGAGAACATCTTACAGTCATTCAGAATAAATGACTGCCACAAGATAAATCTTGCCTGCAGTAGTTAGCACCACTCCCAAAGCACTGATTTTTCAACAGATAAACTGGTGATTTGCTTCTAGTTGCCTGTTGCTACCCAAGATATGCAATTCCCAGTTTATTTTTATCCTCTTTCTGGGTAAATTAGTATAATTATAAACAAAGTAGTGGCGTGTAGTCAACTACCATTTTCTTTTTCTAAGAACCAAGGACCTCCCATAGTATTCTTGGTGATAACATTAATTTGTTAGCAGTTTAGCTAGTTGTTTAATTCTGCTTTGGAAAATTGTTAATTGTGCAATGTTTATATTTTTTTTCTTCAAAATTTTTATTTCTTGTATTTAGGTGTACCGGACCAATCAGTGTGCTGGCGAATTCGTTGTGACTTTCCCCCGTGCCTATCATTCTGGATTTAATCAAGGCTACAATTTTGCTGAAGCTGTGAACTTTTGCACTGCTGACTGGGTCTGTATGTGCCTAGCATAACCTAGATTACTACCAATAATTTTCCTGGGCAATAAAAATTGATGATATTTTAGTAAAGGGAAATTAAATAGAGCTCATCTGAAAGATATTTTGGCCAAACTTTAAACAACAAAGTAGTTTGTAAATGGATTGCATTGGATAGTATTTTAACTATTTGTTAATTGGTTTGTTAATTAGTTTCCATTTCTTTAGTTTCTTGCTGCTAATGTGGAACTAGGCAGCCAATTATAATTCGATATACAAAATTATGAAACGTTTTTACATCTTCGTGTCTACTCACTTAGCTCCTTTGTATGCCTCGCACTCTTCATACTTCCCAGTCATAATATTGTGATAAATATTTACAGATAATGGAATAATCAAAAGCAGTTTTAAAGTAATATTCTCTTCAGTCCAAAACCTAGGAATTTGAAATCATGCAACATTTCTAGCAATTGTGAGATGTAATATTGGGGCTGGTATGTGGAGGTTACATCATCCATTTGAAAGTTAAATCCTATGCACTTTGGATAAATAGAGATATGTTCACTAATAATTTATTGGTCCTAAATTGAAGTCGATTAATTTTATTATAGAATATATGAATTGGTTATTCTATTAAATAGTTCTACTTTTGTGCTGCTTGAAGTAAGAAAGATAAATGCATCAAGATAATGTACAGAAGAGGCATCTTATGCACTATATTTGCATTTGACAAGCATACAGAAATAAAATATGAAAATAGACAAATAGCTTGCAGAATGAATTTATTTCTAGTTAGGATGAATGAAGAGAAGTTCTCATTTTATGAAATCATCTTTAAGGTGTAATATTGGCTGCCTATTAAGTAATATGCAGGCTATAGGTATCTTATTGAATGAACAGACTTGTTTGCCCTGCATCTATATTAAACAACACAGTATTACTATGTCACTGATTTAAAAATGAAATCTATTGCTGTAATGGCTGTTAGATTTTTGTGTAGGATATTATTATATATACAATAATGTGAAATCACAGCTTCCAGTCTTTAGCCGGTATTGGCCTTTATATGCACAGAACTATTTTATATTTTTTATTTAGGTTATCAGATTTATTTGCCATCCATTTCACGATTCAGGTGACTGAATGGCTTAGATCAAGATAAAACAAATATTCAGTGATCATAAATATAAAATTGATTAAATTATAAAAATTAAAATAAGCTTAAAAACAAGGGTTTGGAGGGGAGAGGTAGGGAGCCTTCTCTGTTAGTACACCAACCAGCTTTAGGCAGCAGCTTGTCCTTTAGGACCCCACGCCATTTGACATAGCCAGGTTTTAAGTCTTTTCCAGAAGGCTAAAACGGGGTGGGGGGGGTGGGGGTGGATCTTGCCTCCTGAGCCAAAATGTGGGTAGGAGCCACTTTAAAATAATATTTTATTTTTTTATTTCAATGTTATTACCAGTATTTAATATATTTAAATATTTGAAATATTTAACTAAATTGTACATGTGCATTTAATTTTGAATTTACTCTGATCCAATAATTTTGGCTTAGGTTCCCTAGGCTAATATGAAAAGCTGGGGTCTTGTTGCGTTTATTCATGTTTACTGCACTGTAGCTTTTTTTGGTCAACTGATGGGAAAGAATACAGCTACAGGCCAGAAAGGTTGATTGGAGATTGGCAATTTCAGGCTTGTTAAGATGAAAATTACATCTCTTGAAATCCATTTCCTGCACCCAATCACTCAACCATTTTCCTTGTCATTATTTTTCATTTCATTGAAGAGTTTTAGTCACTATGACTTCTAGAAACATTATCCTTGGGTATTGAACTACACAGTGCCTGATGTAATTTCCTACGCCTTTAGTTAGTACCATTTTATCTGTTTTTCCGTTTGTCTTTTAATTTCCTGTATGTCAGGCCAGGAGCAAAAAATAGGTCGGCAATCTACTAGGACATTTGTTCTAAATCAAAAGCTGTCTGTGTACCTTGCATTTCTAGCTTCCAATTGGACGGCAGTGTGTGAACCATTATCGACGCCTGAGACGTCATTGTGTGTTCTCTCATGAGGAACTAATCTTCAAGATGGCTGCCGATCCTGAGTGTTTGGATGTTGGGCTGGCTGCCATGGTCTGCAAGGAAATGACTCTCATGACAGAAGAGGAGGCGCGCTTAAGGGAGTGTGTTATACAGATGGTGAGCTTAGGGCAGACATGTCAAACACAAGGCCCAGAGGTTTCATGTGGCCCATGAAGCCATCCTGGAAACAGTGAGGGAACGGCCCCCACTGCCTTGGCCCTGGCCCTGGCCCTGGCCCTGGCCGAGGCCAGCTGGGAGCCAATGTACAATTTTGTGGTGGCCATCTATGCTGAAACACATTCAGTCTTAGCTCCACAAGGCCGTCTAGAAACAGCGAGGAACCAGCCCCTGCCGCGTCGGCCCTGCCCCCTGGGTGCATGCTGGGGAGGTGTCACCCTTTGTGAGGAATGAAGAAATGCACCATGCCTTGGTGCTTGCCCCGGTCCCACCCCCTTCTGCCAGAGACCCTCAGATCTGTCCACTCCTACCCAGGCCCCCTTGACGCGAACGATGTAGAGCTGGCCATGCCCACCCAGTAGGCCACACCCACTCCATCCACAGCCCCCCTGCCGCCCCGAGGGCAACTGCAGTGCTGATGCAGCCCTCAATGAAATTGAGTTTGACACCCCTGGCTTAGGGGGATTTTGAAGGGGTTGGGGCTGAACAAAGAAAATGTATGGCCCCCTTTAGGGAAGACTCACACTTCTTGGTTAAGAACTTTATCAGATCTTGCCTATTTTTACTCCAGGGAGTGCTGATGTCGGAGGAGGAGGTGTTTGAGCTGGTTCCAGATGATGAGCGGCAGTGTGCAGCCTGCAGGACCACCTGTTTCTTGTCTGCCCTTACATGTTCCTGTAATCCCGAGCGGCTTGTTTGTTTGTGTCATCCAAATGATTTGTGTTCATGCCCTATGCAGAAGAAGTGTCTGAGGTACGATTCCCCCATATTGCTCAAACATCCCCCTCTTTAAAATGGGACAATCTTTTCCGTTAAAACAGCAAGGAATCCTTGACTTTGTATATTGTGACCAGCTTCAGAATGGTAACATCTGTCCCACTTCTTCCTTAATGAGCGTGGCAAGATCTTTGAAAGCTCTTGTTTCTTTCCAGATATCGATACCCACTGGAAGACTTCCCTTCTTTGCTATATGGAGTGAAAGTCAGAGCACAATCTTACGATACTTGGGTCAGCAGGGTCACAGATGCGTTGTCTGCCAATCTCAGCCACAAAAAAGGTTAGATGCGCTTTTGTTTCCTAGAAAAACTTGTTCGGGGAAATTCTGGATAATAAATTAAAATGTTCCAGCTTAACAATATCACATTTCCAAACCGAAATTCGGAAAGCGAAACATGAAAGTTGAATCAATTATTTAAGAAAATTATTTCCACATAGGTATTATGATATAATATGTAGAATGTTACTTAAGGAGCAGAGACATTTGTGTTTTAGTACCGGTTTAGCCTTTGATGCGGTTTGTTCTAACCCAACCGCAAAGAAGTAGGCAGATAAGAATATAAAATCCGGAGGCCCAGAAAAAACCCATTCATGTAAATGTATCACCTCATCCATCTGAAATCTATCCAGATTGCAACATATATAATAAAATACAGATAATCCTTGCTTAACAGTGGTTACTGGGACTAGCAGCTCCAAAACTAAGTGATGCAGTTGTGAAGCAAAACATCGTGTGAGCCCACTGACTTACAATAACAGTTGTGGAAATTCAACTTGCTCTCATTAGGTGAATTCTGCATGATCACTGTTTGCAAACTCTTGCCTACTGACTGCTTGTTGGTAGTTGGTAGTGAAGCTTGCAGATAGCAATCATATGACCCTGGGACTTGTTCAGAGAAGTTTTGGATGGTAGATGGAAATTTGGAGGGTAAAGAAACATGAAAGGGAACCACCAGTTCACTGTGTAATTCCAAGCTGGTTGCCAAGCACCTGAATTATGATCACATGACCATGGGGATACTGCAACAGTTGCAAGTACGAGGAATAGTGATAAGTATCCTCATGCAGTGCTGTTACAACTTTAAACAGCTACTAAACAAGTGTTCGCCGAAGGAGGACTAACTGCTTAACAGTTTTCATTTAATAGACAATAATATATAATAGCATTCTGTGCCCCTTGACATATAGTCATGTTTGGCCACATGACCACGGAAGTGTCTTCAGACAATGCTGGCTCTTCCGAGTAAGAAATGGAGATGAGCTCCTCCTCCTCCGAGTCAGACATGATTATACAGGGAAAACCTTTATTTTTATCTTTAATATGTAATAAAGCTATAATACATGGTATATGTGTATTTTTATTATACACACACACATATAAGCGCACAATGTTTAAGAAAGCTAAATATAACACCATTAAAATTACATTGATATATGCCATCCTGAGCTCCTTGGAAGAAGGGAAAGATGAAAAATTAAATAAATTAAGCAGGCATACAATCCTTTTTAAGTCTTAAATATTGATGAAATAATAGGTTTATTTCAAACTATAATCATACATGAATTTCAAGAATATTAGACTAACTAGTGTCCAACTGTGTAAGGTAGTTCAAACTTAATTAAGCAAAGTCATATGCACAGGTATTAAAATCTGAAAAAAATCAGGAAAACCTCTATATGATACTCTAGAATCAGTAAAATGATATACATAGGTCTCAAAAATATTAATCAGATACTGTGTTTGCTTCTTTGAAAAAGATTAATATAAGTTTTAAAATTTTCTTAGCCGTTTTCTTTAGGGCAGGGGTCAGAGAGAGAGAGCTGCTGCTGCTTTCTGCTGCTTCATGCTTCTTGCTGAGACGCAGCAAAGGCAGGAGCCCTGCCAAATAAGCTTGTCAGCTTGTCCGAGAACAGCATGAGGCCACTCTCTTCTTTACACACACACAGAGAGAGAGAGAGAGGGGGGGGGAGAAGGGAAGTACAAGTGCCTTTCTCTGTCTCTGTAAATGGCAGGAGGCTGGGAGCCGCAGGAGAAGACTCAAAGAGCCACATGCGGCTCTGGAGCCGCAGGTTGCTGACCGTGCTTTAGGGCATTCTGTAAAATCTGTATTGGAGCAAATGACTTAACAGCCAATTTTTTATTTTTTATTTTTATTTTGCAGATGTGATTGAGCTGAAAGTAATGTTAGAAGATGCTGAAGACAGGAAATATCCAGAGAACGACCTCTTCCGTAAGCTAAGGGATGCTGTGAAAGAGGCAGAGACTTGTGCTTCAGTAGCCCAGCTGCTTTTGAGCAAAAAGCAAAAGCACAGGTATGAGCAGGCATTTAATTTTAAAACCAGCCACGTGAAATGTTCACGGCTCTTTGATAAAATAATAAATTGTCCTTTGCCAAATGGACTCTTTTCAAGTGGAACAAATCAGCTGATATATTGTCAGAAGGACAAAAATAATGGAAGCAATATTTTCAGTTGTCTGAGTTGTGCTCTGAAAAAAAAATTACAAGAGTGAGCAAATTGGAAAACTTGCGCAATGTTTTAATAAGTGTACATATTAAAAATGTTTGCAAATTTATTTAACAAACTTATTGCAGTATTGGTATTTGGGAGTTGCAGTATTAATTATTTTTAGCCAGTTTTTAACAAGCAACTAAAGAGAGGTGTTTTTCCTAGTACTAAATCTGCCCTTTGTCAGGATTATTTATGGAAAGTCAATATCTCACCATCAGAACTTACAAGCCACTTCTCCTACATGGTGCCTTGACTTGAAATATCTTCAGTATGCAGACATGGTGCTGATTTAAGCTTAAACTGATTAATTCTTTCTGAACATTTTTATCTCTTCACTTATATATTTAATGTTATTATTGTGTAATAGAGAATTAATAACAAATCTTAAAAGTATTAAACTATAAACATTTGTGTGAGAGTGGAATAACACAGCCTGTTCTTCAACAGCATTAATCAAAATGACAATTCTGTAACAATTAAGAGGTCTTTTCCTTCATGGCACTTGTCTAACTTCACTGAATGGCCTATCCAGAGAAGAGCTTCTAACAATAACAGAAATGTAGTCCTCAGTTTATGAGGGCAATTTGGAATGGAATTTCCATCACTAGATACATTGTCATATGACCACGCTGCTTACCAGCATCAATTGCTAACATCCCAGTTACCATCGTTAAGTGAAGATCTCATATGACCTCAACTTCCAACTTCATGCTGGCTTCTCCATTGACCTTGATTGTTGGAAGCCAGCAGAAAATGTTAGAAATCACAATCCCATGACTGTGGCTAGCTGTGATGTTATTACCATGAGCCGGCTGGAGATGCTACAATGGCCAGAACTATGAGGACACATTGAAAGTATCCTTTGTTCAGTGCTGTCATAACTTTTGAATAATCAATAAATGAATGGTCATAACCTAAGGACTACCTCTGTATGGGAAGACACTTTTCTTTAACTGTTCCTACCTCTTAAGCCATTCTAGCTTTTAAGACTAACGTCAACTTTGATTAAGCTTGCTTAATTTTGTCTATTAAAAGATTGTTAGTCTTTTCAGCATCAATTTTGATGGATACTTCTGAAACTAGTAAATTTATGAATCTTATTTAAGCTTTAAAGTAAAAATCTATATAAAATTAGTAACAGGAAATATACATGCAATTTACACTATTCTCTTTCCTTTTATATAATAGACTGAATTCAGACAGTGGAAGGACACGGACTAAACTGACTGTAGAAGAACTGAAAGCTTTTGTTCAACAGTTGTTCAGTCTTCCTTGTGTCATCACTCAGGCTCGTCAAGTAAAGGTGAGTTTTTGGAGAAGGTTGCATTTGGATAGAGTTAAAAGTTGCTATACAAATACTTCTTAAAATGAAATTTTATAAAATAAGCCATTAGAGTCTCTTGACAACATTTTAAGGGGGAAGTTGCAAATATTGTTTCCTGTTCTGTTTCGTGTAGGGATTTTTTTTTGAACTGTCATAAGTTTTATTTTAACAATTTTTGTGCACTTGAAGTGCAATAAAAATAAAAAAAGATTGATATTCAACTGGTAGTGGATGTTTCTCGTTTAAAGAAGTGGGCTGAATTAAAACAAATAGTAATCAATTGACTATTGCAGTATTCTGGGAAGCCCAAATGTGTGCAGAGGTGAAAGTATTAATTTCAGTCAATTAATTTCAGCAATTCCGTTTTAAGATTTTGACTGTTGTTTTGAACCAAGGTACTTGGAGCAAGTGAATATTTTGTTTCTAGGTCCTCTCAAAACCCTCAAAAAGTGATTTCCATTAACGTAAATGGTTGATTTGATATTGTTTGCTACAAGAATTGTTTTGAGAATACTATTTTTTTTGCCTGCCTCAAACAAATCTAGCTAAAAACATTCAGATATTCATTTGATGTCTGTAATTACGTCTATCACTGTGTTGAATGGTCACTTTGCTCTAAACCCTTTTAAAGAACCTGCTGGATGATGTCGAAGAGTTTCACGAGCGTGCCCAAGAGGCTATGATGGATGAGGTCCCAGACTCATCCAAGTTGCAGACGCTGATAGACATGGGCTCTGGACTCTATGTGGAACTTCCAGAATTACCTCGCCTAAAGCAAGAGCTTCAACAGGCACGTTGGCTGGATGAAGTGCGGGTGACTCTTTCAGATCCTCAGAGAGTCACCTTGGATTTGATGAAGAAACTGATAGACTCAGGGGTGGGCCTAGCACCACACCACGCAGTGGAGAAAGCCATGGCTGAATTGCAGGAGGTGCTTACAGTTTCAGAGAGGTGGGAGGAAAAAGCCAAAGTCTGCCTACAAGCAAGGTGAGGGGTGTTTTGTTCATTGTCTTTATGGGTCCATCAGGAATTGAGGGTGTTTCAAAGGCTATCTACCAAAATATGGTATGCAATTTTCTTTGGATAAAATCATAAAGGGAGGGGAATAGAAATTTTTTATTAATGAAATCAGCATGTCTGAAAAGATTACATTGCTAAGCCTTTCTAAAGATAGTGTTAGGAAAGTCTTTTGAAATCATGTTTATGTGTTCTAGCTTCAGACTCTGAGTTAGATTGGGTAGACTGCTTGAGGAGTCCTTATCTGTCTTAAACTTGTTGATCCACTTGAGCAAATCATTTTCGGCCTTGACATTGTAGCTCTTTACCCTTATCTGGATTAATGCAATGTGCTGTACGTGGAGCTACCTTTCTAGACTGAAACCAATCTTAAATGCTCTGCCTTCTTTAGTAGGATTAGCTCTTGTCACCAGCATTTGGATTATAGTACACTGGTACTCTGGATTCTGGATTCCCAAATCTATTTCCAGATTCTGATCTGGAAAGCCCTGTATTGCTTGGTATCTAGATATACGCAGGACCAATTTTTCCATCTGGAATCGATTTGCCCAACTCTTACATCTTTGGGAAGTCTGTCAATTGTGATAGTGATAGTGTTCTATTCCAACTCTCCCTAAAATTAGGAACATCTGCCCTCACTGTTTTGGCCTCCTGGAGCTTTTGAAAACTGAATTATTCCAGAGAATGCATTACGAATGCTTAGGCACAGTTGAATTATTTATGAAATTGTTAGCTTTAGATGAATTCTTTTTGATTATATGCCACGAAGCTATTAAATAAGGTAATATGTGAGATTATTAGCATTATTCCTGTTGCCGCTGAGGTATTCAATGCATGGTATAGTCCTGTTTTATAACTGAGATGTATTTTTGATTTGGACCAGGAAATAAGGATGTGTTCCAGATGTTTTTTTTCTTCTCTACTCTTAGACCTCGACAAAGTATTGCCGCTCTGGAGAATATTGTGAATGAAGCAAAGAATATTCCAGCTTACCTGCCCAACATTCTGGCATTGAGAGAAGCCCTGCAGCGTGCTCGAGATTGGACAGCCAAAGTGGAGGCCATTCAAGTATGTTTAATTCCACAGAGTTCAGCAAGAGTTCTGATACTGCCTTTGCCTTTCATTATAAAGAGTCAGATAGTATTTATTTATTAATAAAATTTATATGCCGCCCAATCCCTAGGGACTCAGGGCGGTGTACAAAATTAAAACAATAAATATAACAATAAAAATGAGTACATTCACTCATGCATGAGTCCCAATTGTATCCCGCCACCCCCCCCCCCCGGGGGGACATCAACCCCAGGCCTGCAGGAACAGGAGAGTTTTAATAGCTAACATTACTATTTTAATAGTAACATTGTGATACTATTGATTCTTGCTACAAAAGGTATCTTGTTTCACATAAAGTGAGGATCCTGTTTTAAGATACAAGTTAATTTTAAAATTTAATTATAGGGACTCATACTGGGTTAATTGCTGAGTCTGAATATTTTTAATAAAAAGACATCTGCTAATTAGGAGAGTAATAATGCGCAACTGCATTCGTCCCATATAAGATAAGATAACCTTTATTGTCATTTTTTTACTGTGGGCACAACGGCACACATCAAAAATGAAATTTAGTTGCCTGCTCTCAAAGTGAAACACATACATGACACCGAAACATACTATGAACGATATTTAATTTAATTTAATTTAAAAATGTATTTTGGACAAAACCCCTTGTTAATTTCACCCTTCATTAAAATAGAAAGTTTTATTCTGCAGTAATTTTATTATCTTGCGTTCATGTTTATTGGGATGTTTTATTGTATTAACCCATTTTATCATTGGCTATCCTGGTAGTAGGTACCTTGGAAGACCAACATGTGGTTTAAAATAATGCAGTGATTAAAATCACGTTTCAAGTTGTGATCGATTCCTTTTGCTCTGTTACGAGAGCGCATAGATGAGAATGGTTTGTTTTTATCCATGCAGAATGGAAGTAATTATGCGTATCTAGAGCAACTTGAGAATCTGTCTACAAAAGGCCGCCTCATACCTGTCCGTCTTGATGCACTTCCCCAAGTTGACTCACAGGTAGCAGCAGCCCGTGCGTGGAGGGAACGCACAGGCCGAACTTTTCTGAAGAAGAATTCTAGCTACACACTTCTACAGGTTAGTTGGGAAAACATGTAATAGGATCCAGAGCAGCAAGTTCTAATTCTCCAATTGTTGATGATGATTTTTTTTCGTGCAAGTGATTGGTATAGCCTTAAAAATGTAAGTTAAGAGTTTAAAAAAAAACAGTAGTTTTGCATAGGACTGAGGGGATAAAGGTAGTCCTCATCTTACGACCATTCTTTTAGCAAGCATTCAGAGTTAATAAAGAACAGAAAAAAAGTGACTTATGATCAATCCTCGCACTTAAAACCGTCGCAGCATCCCCACAGTTACATGATCAAAATTCAGACAAATTGGCAAACTGGCATGTATTTACAACAGTTGCAGCATCCCAGGGTCATGTGATCACCATTTGTGGCCTTCCCAGCCAACTTCCCACAAGCAAAGTGAGACTGCATTTGTTTTGTACCACATGATTCGCTTAGCTGCAGTTATTTGCTTAACAACTGCAGAAAAAAGAGGCTGTAAGATCAGGGGCAACTCACTTAGTTTCCTTGCTTAGCAGTGGACATTCTGGTCCCAATTAGGATTGCAAATTGTATAGAATCTTATTGCTGTGTAAGCATATTGCCTTTTCGAAAACTTAACTGTTTTTATTGAAACTAAAAGCAATCTCCATTTGATTAACACTCTCTGTAAAAGTCTTTCTAAAATTAGCGTAGCCCAGGTCCCATTGAAATTGTGGCCAAGTCTGAGCTCTTAACAAAATGTTTTGTAAAAACATTTGTATGTCTGATCTTTTATTGTTTTCATTATAGGTTCTTAGCCCTCGAACTGACATTGGTGTATATGGAAGCAGTAAGAACAGACGGAAAAGAGTAAAGGAGCTGATAGAGAAGGAGAAGGAAAAAGATCTTGACATGGAATCCTTGAGTGAATTAGAAGATGGAGTAGAAGAATACAGGGATACTGCAGCTGTGGTGAGGGCCCATATTCTTTTAGCCATTCTTTTTTCCCAGTAGGAAGCTCCTGTGTCTTTTATTTTACTGTGAAACTAAAAGCCTGTTACTTTTAGAACAGGCATTAAATCTTGATTTAATGGACCTCTTGGAGGAAAAGCTTTCTATTAAATACAAATACAAATATCCATTAAATCAGAATTGTATTGATGTAATTACTTCATTTATGCAATGATATAAGTGATGCTTCTATATATTTTCTGTTAGTTTATATCAAATTGACGCAGATAACATAAAATAACTCTGGACTTAAACAATTAATATAAATTACATCAATTATGTAGAAGGTTCTGAAGCAAGAGAGTTGGTCCATTATTTCAGGGTGAAATCTGAAGTAAAAATTTGTCTCCTCTTTGGAGGTTAGGAGAATCCAGATTTTATAGGACTAGAGCTATTAGAATAGTTATTACTTATAACTAATAGCTATTAGAATGCTCATATTGTAATAGAAACTCCATTAGATGTTAGAATGACATTTTTTTCACTCTGTTGGGAAGATCAAGCCATTGAAAGGTATTCATTCAGTAGAATTCAATCTGAGTTTTGTATTGCTAATAATTCCATTGGTAAAATGATAGAATTTTCAAGGTTTACAATCTTATAAGCTCTCATTTTTTTAAAAAAAATTGGAACCATGTGTGCTTATGCTATAATTATTAGCCTTAATTTTTAGAAGTTAATTTTTTGAAATTGTATTCTTATTGATAAGAAACTTCTAAGAATTGCATTTTACATATGCAAATCTTTTGAAGTTTGATTTTTGATTATGTGTCATCAGGTTGTTGTCAACTCTTAGACATTACTAACAACACATCTCTGAGGTTTGCAACTATTATTAAAAGTAAGCATCCTGTATTTTATTTAGTTGTCAACATTTTCATACTTTTACACTTTTAAATTGGATATTAGAGATAACACCTGATCCTTAGAGATAACATTTGGAATTGCCCATAGTTATGATTTATAAGTGACTAGTAGAGCTTATTGATATTATAATAAAGCATATTTTTGAACCTTAAAACCTATTTTATGCTTTCTTGAGTTTTCAAAATGTCGTACTTTGCTGAACATCCTGCTAAATCTTTACTCTTGAGCACAGAATGAACATTGTAGTTGTGCAGATCATTTTAGCAAACATGAATTCATTTTGTAATAATTACAGAATCTACTGACCACAAATTGATTTTTCTTTGTAGCTCTAAATTTATAGCTCCCATAATTGAGAAATATCTGTCAACTCACCAAAGCCCACCTATAGAACTTGGCAAAAGAGATTAATATGGGGACATTAAGTTTTATAGCCCAGTAATTTAATTACTAGGCAAAACTCAACTGGAGAGATGATAATACTGATGACACTGAGCTCTATATCTTTTTCAATCAATACCAAGAAGGCATTGGAAATCCTAAATCTGTTTGGACACAGTGAGCGGTTATATATTATTGTGTTAACTGACCTATATAAGTCAGTTAACACAAAGCCTCAGTTGAAGTCTGGGATTTGGAATTATCACATGTTCTTGCTGGAGTACCACTGTGAACAAACGTGTAATCTGCAAGTGCTTTGGTATCTGGTGCTGTGTCAGTAGTTATAACTGCTGCAGAATATCTTAGCCATCTTACATCTTGCAAGGTACATCTTATATTTAGGGCTAAATTCTGAAAATGGTTTGGAAGAATCTTCTGGAATTTGCAAAGAGCCTAGAAACATGGGTGGTGGCTTCAATTAGTTAGTGCAGTTTCATTTTTTTAAGAAATTACTTTGAAAAGGTTCACATGGTTTGAGGGTCACTCATAGTCTTATGCATTCTAAAACAGCTCATATGAAGCATGTGCGGTCCTACTTTACATAAACTGATATAATAGATGGTTTGAGCCCATAGGCAAAAATGGTGGATACCTCTAACATTTCTAAGAAACTCTCTGGATTTTCATAGCCACCTCTCTCTGTATAAATATTTATATCATATATACCATATCATACCATATAGCATATCATATATCACATTATTATATAATAATAATGGAACCTCCTGCTTTGTAACTTATAACTCTTGGTAACTTTAGATGTTAAGATGCAGAGCGTCCCTGTTAAAGAAGATAGAGCTGTCAGTCAGCAGCCAAACAAACATCCAAGGATAAACCAAAATAAAATGGAAAAGATATATTCCAGGCATATCACAAGATGGCAGCAGTCTGCTACAAATGCTAAAAAAATATTTGAAAAAAACTTTAAAAAAGAGACAGAGATTAGAAAATACCAGATTCTATAGAAATATTCCAGTTATACAAGTAAAACTTTCCCTAATTTATGCCGAAAATAGAATCGGGACTTTACCACTGAACAATAATACCAAGATTAAACATAATGCAACACATCTAGCAGTTTCCCAAAACAGATATTTCCTTTTTAAAAATTATTTTTGGATTTCCTGGAAATTCCAGCAATTCTGAGGCTCCTGGGGAGCTGAAAAGAACCTTAATTATTTTCTCTTGCTTCTTTCTCCAGTTTCTCCTCTCCATTGATTCTGTGCACTTTTTTTGTTTGGAAAGAACAATTCAAGCAGTCTTCTCTGAGGGAATTACTGGGTTATCTCTCTGTGTCAATATGACAAGCAGCATCTTTTTCTCCTGAAGGTATTGATTTTAGGTCTGTACCTGTCTGGCAGGTAGATTGGCAGGCTGTGGTTATCAGCTTGTAACTTGTCATTCACATCAACTGGTACGAAACTGCTAGTACTGTGCAGCCATCTTTGAAAGTCTCTTATGTTTCTTGTCTCGTGATGGATGAAGTTAAGGTTGATGGATATTTGGAACAAGATTTTTTTTTCTGCAGCAGAATTCTGTTTATGAACTTTTTCCACATGGAAGCCAGATTAGACCTTCATAAGTAAGTTTCAGATGGTAATTAAAGATGATACAGGTAGTCCTCGACTTATGACCGCAGTTGAGCCCCAAATTTACGTTGCTAAGTGAGGAATTTGTTAAGTGAGTTTTGCTCCATTTTATGACATTCCTTGCCACATTTGTTAAGTGAGTCAGTTGGTAACACATTTGTTAAGTGAATCTGGCTTCCCCATTGACTTTGCTTGTCGAGAAGGTCCAAAAAGGTGATCACATGACCCCAACACACTGAACCAATTGTCAAGCATCCAAATGTAAGTCATGTGACCATGGGGATGCTGTAAGTGTGAAAAATGGTCATAAGTCACTTTTTTCAGTTCCGTTGTAACTTTGAACAGTCAGTAAATGAACTCTTGTAAGTCGAGGACTACCTGTATTCTGTTGAAAATGTTAATGATTTCAGATTCCACATATGATTATTTTTCACAAGTCTTTTTATTTGATTCAGGTATATTAGATTTTTAAAAATGTTGCAGCTTGGAACTAGTATTCTGTTTGTTCATGGCTGGCTCAGGAATTCTGGCACTTGAAGTCCACAAGTCATAAAAGAGCCAAGGTTGCCTACCCCTGTAGCACAGTGTGTTAAAAAAAACGTTGGACCAGTCTAGGAATGTGAGTCTTGCCAATGAAATGCATTGAATGGTTCTCTACCATTCTCCCCTTTGAAAAGGTGGCTGTCTTCAAAGACCGGGAGCAGAAAGAGGTTGAAGCCATGCACGCCCTCAGGGAAGCCAACCTGGCCAAGATGACGATGGTGGATCGCATTGAAGAAATCAAGTTCTGCATCTGCCGCAAGACGGCCAGTGGATTCATGCTACAGTGTGAACTCTGCAAAGACTGGTTTCATAGCACTTGCGTGACCCTTCCCAAAACGAGCTCCCAAAAGAAGGGCTCCAGCTGGCCTTCCAAAGAAGTCAAGTTCTTGTGCCCGCTTTGCATGCGATCTCGAAGGCCTCGTCTTGAGACAATTTTATCTCTACTAGTGTCCTTGCAAAAACTCCCAGTACGGTTGCCAGAGGGGGAAGCATTGCAGTGCCTGACAGAGCGAGCTATGAGCTGGCAAGATCGGGCACGGCAAGCCCTGGCCACCGATGAACTATCTTCTGCATTGGCCAAACTTTCTGTGTTGAGCCAGCGAATGGTAGAACAGGCAGCACGCGAGAAAACGGAGAAGATAATCAGCGCGGAACTCCAGAAGGCAGCTGCCAATCCTGATTTACAGGTATTAGTTTATTTCTTGGGTGCATTCTCTCTTTTCTTCCTATGGATAAAGACTTTATTGCTTGAGCTTTGTCACCTAGTTTGATCTGAATGCTCTCCTTCTGGAACCCAAAAGTTGATGCTTTTGTATAGACTTCTTAAACCAGTCCAAATGATAAAAACACAGTTGTTTTTTAGAACATAACCGAATACACATTCACTAGCAGGGTTTTTACACTTTACAAAGACTAGGAACAAATAGTTATATTCCAGTGCAGGAAATTCCAAAATCTTACAAACAGCACAGCTTTTCAAACATGAATACAGTAGATTTTTATCACTCAGGAATTGTACTTCTAATAAAAAGTTAATGTGATATTGTTTTTTTATTGGCTATTCTTTTTTCCTACTACAACTATCCCTTTAGGATTTGCATCTCTATACACTTACTACTGAATTCATTTTTATTCCAGTGATCTGTGACCCTTCAGGTACTTAATGCATTAGCATTCCTACCATTCTTTGCCATTGATTTCCTTGACTAGAGGTGTTAAGATATGCAGTTCAACAATATTGCCTATTTATTATGTATTCCTACCTTTGCTATGTACAGTAGTGGCCAAAATTGTGGAAACCTTTTGGGAAAAGTGTGTTTTTGAGGTTTGATGGCTAATAACACCACTTTTTTTGGAGTAGTACCATAAAATTATATATCAATGGAAAGATAATTTAATCAATAATATAATGCAACAAAGTTTATTCAATTATATGTACTGTATTGTATGAAAAGTTATAGCCAAATAACCAGAAAAAGGAAGCACAACTTGCTTAGGTTGATATCAGGTAGCTTTCCTTCATCTGATTGTAGCAAATGAGCGTGAGTGTTTAGAGAGCCAATCAGGTGTCATCTTGTTTTGGCAATGAGCCAATCAGATCACAGTAGGATTCAGTTACTGATGTCATGTATTGAACTGAGGAGGACATTTGTCAGTGCGTTATGTGATCGCTATCAAGTTGGTTGGGTTTTTTTGTGTTCTTTCATTTAGTGAGCTTGTAAAACGTAATAAAATTAAAGTAATGGTGCAAAAAGTTGACTGGTTGCCCAGAAAGCGATGTAAAATAGTATTATTAAGTGAACAAGGCTACAGTTATAAAGAAATTAGAAGAAAAATTGGTGGAAACGTAACCAAAGGTGGCATTTCTACTGTACACTTTTCCCAAAAGGTTTCCACAGTTTTGGCCACTACTGTATTGCAAAAATAGTTAGGCGGAATGCCTTTTATTTGGAGATTTCTGCTCACTTCCCAGCAAGAATTACATAAAAAGATATTTTTAAAAGGTTTTAATTGTTTTTTCTTTGTTCAAGCAATGTAATTAGCATCTTACAAATATAAATATATCAATTCCAAATGATTATTAATAATTCTCACTGATAACTGTTTTTGTTTGATGCCTTCAGTGACTACAAAATTCTAATATTTTCAGGTACTGTATCAATTACCAAGTTCTACATATATTTCAGACAATGGTTATAAAAGTGAAGAAGAAATTATGGTGTTCTCAGCATCTGTGAATAAAGGAGAGTATTTATAGTTGTGTCATGGAAGCTTAGAAATGAAATTTCAATTCCTATTGTTAGAAATATAATTTTAAACCAAATATTAGTTTCCTGTAATCTGATTTGCAACTGCTAATCAACTCAAGTAATTTTTGTTACCTTGTACAAGTTTCACTGGATGCCTTTTTTAACTCAGAAAGTGTATTTCTTCACATAGGGGCATTTGACTAGTTTTCAGCAATCTGGGTTTAATCGGGCTACAAGTAGTGTATCTTCATCTCCTCGACAGACTATGGATTATGATGATGAGGAGACAGATTCAGATGAAGACATAAGAGAAGCATATGGCTATGACATAAAGGTTAGTCTTGGAATAACATTTCTGAACTCACAATTGTGAATAATTGTTTTATTCCTTCAGTGAGACTTCATCAGTAACAAAGTTTGCAACCATAACTGTAAAGTTGTTTGATACAAAGAGATGATCAGAAGCCTCTTGGGATTTTTTTTAATTAAAAATTTATAAAATTTTACAATAAAATACTCTCCCCTCCCAACCCCCCAACCCCCTCCCCCCTACTTCACAGAGCTAAATACAGTGCTAAAAACAACGAAAAACATAGAATTTAAATGAACATCAAACAATTATACATACATCCAAAAAACAAAATTTTAAACACTTTAACTCCAGTACATAAAAACAGAAATTACCATTCTTAAACATAGGTTATTCAAAAACTTACCCTTAAATATACATCATTCAAAAGCTAAATAATACTTTCTAATATCATATTTATTCTGTATAAAATTCACCCATCTTTTCCACACCAAAATATATGGGGATTTTTTTTTTTAAAGTTAGTGCAGAGTTTATATTTTTAGAAAAGCAAAATGCATTATCCTCTTTTTTCATTCTGCTGTAACTAGCTAACCATATATTGCTGTAGTAACTGAAAGAAAGCCACTGGCTTAACCCATGTTTAATGTAATTCTGTTAACAAACCTGTGGTGGGTTGTCTTAAAATGATTAGATCCCGCTCCATAATCTCATGTTTCTGCTGTACTTTTCTTTAGGACAATGCCAGTGTAAAGTCTTCTAGCAGTCTGGAGCCCAACCTCTTCTGTGATGAAGAAATTCCAATCAAATCTGAAGAAGTAGTAACACACATGTGGACAGCTCCCTCTTTCTGTGCTGAACATGCATATTCATCAGCTTCAAAAAGTTGTTCTCAAGGTAATTCTTTTTTTCCACATAGTATTATATGTACAGTGCCACTTATTTGTCATTGTAATTTATAAGCTGCTCAATTCATCAAAAATTCTCTAAGCAGCTTATAAATTAAATTAAGAAATGAAGTGCTCTTGGGCTAAAAATTAATGGTGAGGCCAAGTTAAAAACTAGGTTTGATTAACTTCATTGGCAGGCAGGCAGGCAGGCAGGCAGGCAGGCAGGCAGGCAGGCAGACAGACAGACAGACAGACAGACAGAGAGATAGGATACTCCAGATATACGCTTTGCAGTGTATTTTGAATGCCACGTGAGCACAGTACTTTCTATTATTAAGTACTACAGTCATGTATTTTCCCAGGCTTCTGCATAAACCTGAAAAAAATGTAGCTTTTTTTAAAAAAGTTTTTTATTTATAATACAGTTAAAACAAAAATGGACATAACGTGACATTCCAGAATAAATATTCCTAACAGTTTGTTCCTCTTAGTACGTAAAATTAATACATAATTCTTGATCTCTATATAAACATATTTCTTCCATACAATACAGTTAATAAATACAGTTATATATATTTCTGTCTTAACACTAACTTGAAACCCGAGCAGTTCTCCTTGAGTGATAAAATTTGTCCCAGATTTCAAAGTAGTCTGATTCTGTCTTATCCTTCATTTCCATTGTGAGCCTATCCATTTCGGCACATGATAAAATTTATATTTATTTATTTATTTATTTATGAGACTTATATACCGCTTTAAGTGCAAGCACTCTCTAAGCGGTGTACACCAGTAAGCAATGTATATATATATTTACATTGCCCCCAACAATCTGGGTCCTCATTTTACCTACCCCGGAAGGATGGAAGGCTGAGTCAACCTTGAGCCGGTGAGATTTGAACCGCTGACCTGCTGAACACAGTCAGCTAAAGTGGCCTGCAGTACTGCACTCTAACTGCTGCGCCACCTTGGCTTATATAAAATCTCTTCTTCTGTTGGGATTCCTTTATTCCTCCAGTTTTGAGCATACACCAATCTAGCAGCCGTGAGAATGTGTAATATCAAATAAAATACCCCTTTGTCGTATTTCTGCATGGTTATGCCTAGTAAAAAGAGTTCTGGTTTTAACTCTACCACTAACATTAATATTTCTTCCAGACATTTTTTAACCTTATTCCAAAAATCACGGGCTTGTGGGCACTCCCACCACATATGGTAGTATGTCCCTATTGCCAATTTACATTTCCAGCATTTGGAAGAAACATTTGGACCCATTTTAGCTAATCTTATGGGTGGGAGATGCCATCTGTAGAACATAAAAAAATGTAGCTATCTTAATGAACTAAAATGATTCTTAAAGCAGTGGTAACTTTTTTTAAAACTCACATAAAAATCTGAAAAACTGTGTGGCTATTAATGAATAATAGTCAGGTGATTGCCCAAGCTTCTTCCAAATCATTTTCAAAACATGACCAGAACTAGTATTTAATCATGTTCTGTTTCTGCAACTATAACTGCAACTTTTGAAGATTTCAGAAATTGTATGTACCTCTGGGGTCTTAGGTTGTGTACTCCAAATAAGTGCTTAGTGGCACCTGGGTAACAACTATAGATTCTGAGTTTCTTTAGGGTCTTAAACCATCCAAATGACTTCATGTCATTTTGCATGTCTATAATAAATGACAATGAGGCCATCAACTACTAGGAAACTGGGTACTTGAATTTTTAAGAAAACAAAACTTTAGTCCTTGTTACCTTTCATTATTATGTTATGTTTTCTGTCCTTTAGTCTTAAACATCGTTTTTTCCTTTGTGCTTTTTGAAAGGTTCCAATACCCCAAGAAAGCAACCCCGTAAAAGCCCTTTAGTTCCTCGCAGTTTAGAACCTCCTGTGCTTGAACTGTCTTCTGGAGCCAAATCACAGCTGGAAGATCTAATGATGATAGGAGATCTCTTAGAAGTATCTCTTGATGAAACCCAACACATCTGGCGGATTTTGCAGGCCACACACCCGCCCTCTGAAGATAGATTTCTTCATATCATGGAGGTAACTGTAGGCATTTTCTATCGTAAAATAGCAAAGTCATATGTAAAATTAACTTCGGCAAAATGGTATTGCAGAGAGCAGGTGATTCCCACTGCTGCTATTTCATCTCTTGATTGGATTACCTCCGTCTAATTTATTCTTTGGGATTTGCTTCCTTACCAAAGTCTTCCTTGAAGCCCCTATAACAGTAGTGGTGGACCTACGGAACGATTGCCAGAGGCGGCACTCGGAGCCCTTTCGCTGGGCACGCATGCCATCGCCCCAGCCCCACCTCCCCCCGCAGCCTCCTCACCAGCAGCCATCCCGGAGGAGAGCCACCCCCGGGTGCGGCCCACGCGGAGCAGCGCAGCCAAGCACATGGCAGCTGGGCAGCAGATGATGCTGCAGGGCGCAGGCAGAAAGCGTGATCACCATGGTACTGCTGGGCTGCCTGGGCAATATGCTGCGGGCCGCAGATGGCCCTGAAAGCAGGTGGAGTGAGGGTGGAGCAGGGCGGGGGCGGGCAGGCAGAGAGTGGGCGGGGTGGGTTTTGGGCACTCGGTCTCTAAAAGGTTCATCATCACTGCCCTATAAGCTCATTACATTTGTCCTTCCACTCTTATTTACTCCCTTTCCTATTTCTCACTAAATCCATATAGTGGAATATTGTCTACCACATGTTTCTTGTTGAAAAGTCATGAGCATCCTGATGTGAGCATCTCATAATTGGATGCAAAAATATCCTGTCTCTATTTTAAGTACCAGGAATGTTGGGACACTCCCATTCACATGCAGCAAAATGCTTGTTGATTGCCATTAGCAGAGGGAACCCAGCAATCTAAGGCTCTGGTTATTGTAAGGTGTATGCCTATGTCTATGTCCATGAACATATATATCCCACCTTTATTATTTTAACAAATAACTCAAGGCTGAAAAAATATCTAAAATACCTTCCTACTACTACTTTTCCCACAACAACAATCCTGTGTGGTGGGTTGGGCTGAGAAAGTGACTGGCCCAAATTACTCAGCTGGTCTTCATGGAAAGGGCAAGACTTGAATTCATGGTCTCCCACTTTTTAGTTATTGAAAGTAAAATGGTCATATCCAGCCTCCCGAAAAGAATTCATTTGTTGAGGCTGAGGAAGAAGAAAAATCTAAAGTCCCTGCCACTCTAATCCTAATGATTGACCTTTCTTAGGAAAGCAGATTACCAGCTCTGGCTATGTGTATATTATCTTACAAATTGTTTAACATCCACTTGGTTCCGAAATAGAGTGTCCCACTTTAGACTTTATGAAGTAAACTGGCATTGTGATTAATATTTACTTTGCCTCTTCTCTCCTGTTAATGAGCTTATTCACTCAGTGAAAGGGCTGTGTGCTTATGGGAAACCAGCTTCTTCATCTTGCTTTTATGATATGCCAGGGGATAATCTGGCAATTATCAACCTCCTCCTTTTGTTTCTTGAAGGATGAGAGCATGGATGAGAAGCCATTAAAAATCCGAGGAAGAGATGCTTCAGAGAGGAAAAGGAAGCGCAAACTAGAGAAGGCAGAGCAGTTCTTTGGTGACCTGAAGCAGAAGTCTAAAGAGCTGAAGAAGTTGGAGAAACCAAAGAAAAAGAAGCTGAAACTGACAATGGACAAGACAAAGGAGCTGAACAAACTGGCCAAAAAGCTGGCTAAAGAAGAAGAACGAAAGAAGAAGCGTGAGAAAGTGGCTGCAACAAAGGTAGAGCTGGTGAAAGAGTGCACTGAAAAAAAGAGGGAGAAAAAAGTTTTGGACATCCCCTCCAAGTATGACTGGTCAGGAGCAGAAGAGTCAGATGATGAAAATGCTGTGTGTGCTGCACAAAACTGCCAGAGGCCCTGCAAGGACAAGGTGGGTCACCACGGTTGACGTTTTGAAAGATCATTGCTAGATCATTGCCTCAGACTCCAGGGCTCTTATCTTTGAAAGTTTTAGCCATACTTTAATTTAAAAAGCAGAAACCGTAACATATTTGTTCTTCGATAAGGGATTTTTATGATTTATTCATTTATCCATCAAATTTACCCGGGTGCCCATCTCACCAAAAGTGACTCTGGGCGGCATGCAACAATGAATTAAAATAAATATTATATAGAAACAGTCATTAAAGATTAAATATAAAAATATTAATTAAAAAAAACCCACCACACTGCCCAGGAGAGAGTGAATGTCAGCTATAGTAATGGAACCATTGTAAGATATAACTGTTCTTCTGGAAACCCCAGGCCTAACTACAAAGCCAGGCCTTGAGGGACTTCTTGAACCTTAACAGGAATGAAGCTAATTTAATTTTGGGTGTTGGGGATGTTCCATCTGGTAGTAGCCACAACAGAGAAAGCCTTCCTCCTGGAACCTGCTAAGCATAGGTTTCTACTGGCAGGATTTATTTCTATTTCAGCGATGCCTTAAAAATCAGCTAATGCATATGTGCAATAATATACTGTATCAATTCTTGGGAACAAGGGAGATTAAAAGTGTATTGTCCAATAAAAGAAAGAGTTTTGTTTTAGATGAACAAATAACAAAAGCTGTTGGGAAATGTAAATCCTGCATAAGTACTGAAGCTGCTGCAAAAATTTCCATATGCTGCAAAAGATACAACTTTGCTGCAGGGCTTAACTGCAGAAAAGTAACAAGCACTTTCTGAAGAAACTAAATCATTTTGTTGTATGAACTAATCACATGCACAATAGATTAATATATACAATGCACTGGTTATTTCATTTTGTAAAACTTTGTAAATACTTGTAGAAATTAATTTAAAATATACTACTAATTGATGCATTTTTATTAAATGCTCGTCCAATTCAAAACTGCCAAATGCCAAGAGATTGGTAGATTTTTACAGATCACAGGAAAACCATTTCATGGCAGAAGACAGTTGGGTATACTTATGTCCTAACTATAGTATTATTATTATACTTGAGGTATCATATTGGTTAATTTGTTTAGATCTCATGCCTTTAATGGTAGCCCTAAGGAAACATAATAACTCATTACAATGAGTCATAATAATAATAACTTATTATAATGACTCATTCAGGAAATGACCTGTAATGATAAATTTAAAACAATCATTGGAATTACTGCTTTAGTACTCCAGCTTCAAGGTTTAATTTAATGGAATGTATTAAATTTGTAAGAACATCCAATTCAAAATGACTCTGGGCAGTGTACAATACTAAATGCAGATATGATTAGCTCTGCAGAAAGTTTAGCATATCCTGGCAACCAGGGTAGCCAAGAAGCAGATGTGTTACATGGGCATAGAGAAGCATCTGGACTGCCACATTCTGGATTATCTGTAGCTTCCAAGTGGTCTTCAAGGGTGACTTCATATACAGCAGTGGTTCTCAACCTTTTTAATGCCGCGACCCCCAACCAGTCGTAAGTCGAAGACTACTCAACCGGTCGTAAGTCGAGGACTACTCAACTGGTGCAGCACCATTTGCAGAATGGGATTTTTGGTGGGCTCAGCAGGGCAGAGACAGCCTGGACAATTCCTATTGGCTTTTGAAAGCCAATAGAATTAGACTCTATTCAAGAGAGTCTATTCTATTGGCTTTCAAAAGCCAATAGAATAAAAGGGAGTAGCACAGCTAAGGAAAAGGGGGAAAAAATGGTGGATTGCATTGTTTGGCGACCCCCGTGAAATGGTCGTTCAACACCAAATGGGGTCCCGACCCACAGGTTGAGAATCACTGATACATAGTGTGTTATGGTAATCCACACACAAAGTGACCAGAGCACGAGTGACTGTCCCGAGGCTCTTCTGATTCAGAAATTAATGTACCTGCCCCACGAGATAGATCTGCATGAAGCAGGAAATGGGGTCCAGGAAGACCTCTAAATTGCATGCCAGCTTTGAGTGAGCTAAATGCTCATTGATTAAGACTAAAGATGTGGAATCCTTGGATCCAGGGTTGAGTCTGAATCTGTTGCTCTCACCCAGATTATGAAGATATAAATAACTCCCTAATTTTTAATGAGAAGGAAAAGCTATAGGTGCTTTAAGAAGTAAGCTGTTTAACAATATCTCTTGATAGCTGCAACAAGCAATGCCCCAAATTTAAACTGAAATGAGCCCGAGAAGTTGCCCACTCTAAAGTTCTTTATTGAAGGAATTGTTTTAACTGACTTGGTAGTCATCAAAGGACTGTTAATCATGACCACCTTGGCAGTACTTGACTTTTAGTTGCATTTTCCCCTTCATATCTTGTCTCTAAACATAACTCTCCATCATATGTATTGAATAAAAAGCACAGCTGTCTCATCTGCACATGTATAATATCAAGTACCAATTTGTATGCATATCAGTGATATTTAGTGATATATTTCGCTCTAATTTCTTTTAGTAGAAAGAATGCAATCTGTCTTGTAAAGTTTTATCTAATGGAAAGGCACAACTGACCTAATTTGCAAACCTTTGAGCTTTCACCTGTCAATAATGAACACAATATCTAAAGTAATTTTATGAATGCTAACTCTGCAGTTATCTTATAAAGCTTGTGTGTATGTGCACACACACACACACACACACACACACCCATCCACCCATCCATCAAATTTGTAAGATTATAAAACAGCATAGCAACTCTGGGTGGTGTACAATATTACAAATGAGTTAAAAAGAAGTATTATCTTGAAAACATTTAAAGGTGCAGAGAAAGACAAGAGAGAAATTAATGGAGAAGACTATAGATAATAATTATGACGACTGTTTTCTCTAGTATTAGAAGGAAAGTGAGCAAGAAAACATTCACATTATAGCTGAAATCTGTAATCTTGTGGGCCAAAGTAGGAGCAGGGTGCTAGGCTACATTCACCTTTGAGGTGATCCAGAAGAGATGTTATAGGTAATTCTCAATTTATGACCTCAGTTGGAACCAGAATTTCCATTGGCAAGCAAGGTAGTGGTTAAGTGAATTGTGTCCAATTTTATGACCCCCCCCCCTTTTTTTTTTGGCCACACTTGTTAAGCAACTCACTGCAGTGAAGTGAATCATACCCATGTACGCGAATCTGATTTCCTCTATTGACTCTGCTTGTCAGAAACCAGGTAGGAAGATTGCAAATGGTGATCACATGATCTCTGGATAAATGTGGAGAACTGGTCATAAATCAAAAAATGCCATTGCAACTTTGAACAGTTGCTAAATGAATGGTTGTAAGTTGAGGACTTTGTTTACTTCCTGGCTAATTGTTCCAATCTGCAGAATAAGCTTATAGAGAGATATATGCAATACAAAGACATCATGCAAAAGAGTCACAATCTTGGTCTTTATTGTGTTAGTTACAAACAAGTTAATAGAAAAGATACTGTAGCTTCCAGTATGTGTTTCTTGAAAATACACTCACTGGATTATGTTTTTCAGATAGCAGTGACAGCAGATAGAAATACAAATAGTATCTATTAGTTTTGAAAACACTTGTCTCTTTACTCTTACTCCTGTGGAATTCACAAACCAGAATGTGTGCCAATATTTAAGATAAAATAGTTAATTGGGTACAACTGCCTGAAGGCAGCCTATTGTTTTTCACACTAATCAGGCCATTGACAAGTAAAAATTAGTATATTCCAAGAGATGTAAAATCTTTTATGACAGATCTGTAGCAGCTCATTAACCCAGTTAAGTAAATATAGAGATGGTTCTCTTTTCAAGATATCTGCTGACAATAAATGTATTTGTAATAGGTTATCTTGATTTCAGATTTGGACAAAATGATGATATGTAATGATGATCATTTTATCCATTCAGTTGTGCCCAACTCTTGGCAATTCTACGAGCTACGTCTCTCCATGTCTTCCGATCTTGCACTACCTGTTTGAGTTGTTCTGTGCTCTGGCTGGTGTCGGCTTTGATGGTGTTCAGTCACTATGTTCTTTGGCCTGGTTTCCTTTTACTACTAACTCTTCCAAGCATAATTGCTTTTTCCAGTGAATTCCCCTGAATGATATGGCCAAAATAAGTGGGACACAGTTTTGTGATTTTGCCTTCCAGTGTCATGTCTGGTGTGATGCATTCCAGTACTTGCTTGTTAGTCACCTTTGCTGCCCAACGGATATGCAGGAGCCTTCTCCAACACCACAGCTCAAATGAGTTTGGACAAAATATGATATTAAAAACTTATCTCCCACTTCCATCCACCTTTCTAGTCAGTCTTGAGGGACTATATGGACGAACACATTAATGGAGTTAATTATTGGGACAGACCTAGGATTATCATGGAGACGCAGAAGTTGATCACCCTGAAAGTCTTGCCTTGATGTAGATGTTGGGACCACTCATTTTTTGGGGTGGGGGGTGGGGAGTACCCATTACCAGGGAAATGTATTCACTGGGTGAACTTAGCATCAGATTATTTACTGTAGAGATATAGTGCTGTAAAAATAACTGCCACTTTTCTCTCTCACTGCAGTTTGAATCGCTGAACAAAATTAAAGCTTTTTCTAGCCAAGTCATAAAATGTAAGCAAGACTGCTGTGTTAATCAGAATGAAATACAGATTTAAATTCCTGTCCCTCAGAATGCTCTGCATTGGCAGGATGTGAATACAGGATAGCATCTTTTTTTTTTTAAAGCTGCTACTGCAAGTGAACTACTTAGAGACAAGATAAAGTAAAGAAAATGGGATTGGATGTCAATGTTGGAATATTTCCCTCACTGCTACCATTTTAACACTTCCATCTACTTGAATTTCCTTCTTTGTCCCAGTTCTGCCAGCGTATAGTGCCCATTAATCTTCTACTACCTTTTTGCAAACAAAAACAAACCAGGAATTTCTTGAATACTGATTTATAAGTACTTGTGAAAATCAAAAACTGAGATTAAAGTAGCAAAAGGAAAAAAGACTGTTTTCAGCATGGATGAGAATTTTATAGTTAGACCTACAACTACTGTGGGTTAATGATGAAGCTTCTTGGATGAGAAGTAAAACATCTTCAGAGAAAAACAAGAAAGTCCAGTTGCCTTTTGTCCCAAAGCACCTTTGGGACAACCATGACCTGAATCTCTATAGACAGTTATCTAATACTTTTTTTTTTGTTACATGCTCATTCTTGGATACGATCCACTCAACCTCTAACCATGGTGTTTGCTAAATGATGAACCATGCAGTTTAATTAACATGCCTATATTGTGTCTTACAGGTAGACTGGGTGCAGTGCGATGGTGGCTGCGATGAATGGTTTCACCAAGTTTGTGTTGGTGTCTCACCAGAAATGGCAGAAAGTGAAGATTATATCTGTATTAACTGTGCAAGAAAACAGAAGCAAGGAGCAGGTAGTCCACCACCACCTCATTTCCTGCTGACCTACAAGCTACCCATGGAAGACCTCAAGAAGACAAGTTAGCAGCTATTCGGTCTTGATGAGACTTGAGGGAAATGGAACACTGAGAAGGTGTGAAGCTAATATGGCCGCTTGGAAAGCTGCACTTCTGGCAGACATACAGCCCTGTAGCGGAGCTGGCCATACGCAGCTGGCTTCCATTACATGAAGCGGATGTCACGGGCAATGGGGTACTGGCCCAGCTATGCAGATATCATCTTGTTCAAAGGCCCAGTCAGTATTTTTACTCCCATGTTTCCTGCGGAAGGCTGAGTGTAGCTGCTGCCTTCAGACTAAGCAGATGTGAGGCCCATGGATTTTTTTTTTTTTTTTTTGCCTCAACAGTTTAAATTGAGAGCACTCCGGAGAATCATGAGCCCTCTGAGTTGCCCCATAATGGCATGTTGGTTGAGAGGAGATGGTTTTCCTTCAGCCTGTTCAGGTCATTGAGGCAATGTTGCTGAACCTGCTTTAAACACCACACCAGGAGGATAGGAAACTCCTTTCTCTTCTGTTCCTTGAAGCAGAAGAACTGTAGCTCTCAAAAACATTGGCTTTGTATTTACCCCAAAGAAATTAGGATCATAGTCCTTCTTGGGGAAAGCTCACATATAAATGAATTCAGAGCTAAGGCATGTTACCTTGGCAAAGCACTCCTTCCGGCTTTGGTAGCTATTTTTCTCTGTCTTCAGCTTTACCAACACCCTGTCACTAAATTGTTTAAAGCAAGGTGCAGCTGGTTATGGGTATCATGAGTGCATGAGTTTTTCTAACGGGTTGCAAGCAGCCCCGCGCCCGCTTTTTCTTGATTCTGCACTGATATGTCTTCTGTGAAAATCTAAGTCACAGTATCTTCAGCATCATCAAGTTAGTCTTGCAGTCCATAAGATGCGGTTTGCTTCCTCGCCTTTAGTTGTTGATGAATTTAAAGGCCTTCACTTGGCCACAGATCCACTTTAACTTCCCTGCCCCTCTGTTTTCTGGAAGATAGGTGGCTGAGGAAGGGAGGGGGAGTATTCCCAAATAACAATTGTTTTAGTAAACCCATTTTTTTAAGGACTGGTTTTTACTTTTTTCTATGTCTTGGACTACTGACTTGTTCTACAAAATAAATAGATTATTTTTCTTTGTTTTTATACTTACCACGGTTACCAGCAGCACAGAAAGAAAGAAAGAAAGAGGCTCACTAAACAAAAACCTGCCTGCAGGCTTGGGTTTTTTTACTTCATTCCTTCCTTGTAGTACAAGGAACTTAGCAGTTACTCCCCACATCCTTGTTCCCCCTGCTACCTGTGTTTTAAATAGGTAAAAAAAAAAAAAAGAAATCATGTGCTACTTTCCTATTGGGGTATGTTTGGTTAGCAAGGCATCTTCGTCCTTGCTGTGTTCCAGTTTATGCTGGGTTTTCTGTAAGTAAATGGCTGAAAAAAGCCATAGTGGTGTCTCCCCCACCCCCATTTATCTATTGTGTTTCCATTCTTCTACAGCTCTAGATGTGTTGTAACTATAGCGTCCAGTCTTCTTAGCTGCAAGGGTTGGGATTTTCTAAAACATAAAAACTGTAGTGTTCTGCCTTGCCTGTTTTGTGTCCCTTCTGTTATACCTGGAATTTACAGAGTTCACTGGTAAACATCACTGTCACGAGGCACTGCATAGACTTCAGCATCTGTATGATTCAGATAATATAATCAAAATGTAGTATCAGAAAAGGATTTTCAAGCTGGGAGTTGCACTTATGGCCTATAGTTGCAAGGCTCATGGTTTTCCCTGGGTGCCTTCATTTGATCTTGAGACTGCTGTAAAAAGGAAAATTGCTGACACAGTTCTTATATATTTTGATTACATGCTAAAGGGGCAAGTTACTTGTGTTTCTGTTTTAAAATTAAATTGAAAAATAGCTTACCTGTTCACCAGCTCAGTGGTTATAGCTGACATTTTGAGAAAAGATAGGAGATTTTCAAGGTGCCTTGTTCTTCTGCATTAATGCTGGTAGTCTTTTTTTAATGTAAATTGAGCTTTAATTCACATGTTCCTGGCAGTGGCTGTAAGGTAAGAAAACACAATGGTTTACAAGGAACAAAGAAAAAGAACACCAATTTTCAATACCACAACACCTTTTAACAACACGGTTAAAAGTACCAAGTTATAATTGGGATCTCCAGCTAACATATTTTGACCTGATGCCGGTATATTCCAGATAGGTGATTTTATGTTTAAAAAAAGCATTCAGAAGGAGGTTGAGTGTTTACTTGTCCAGTCTTTGCTAAGTGGTCTTCATTTGCCAGTAGAAATTAAGATGAGTCAAAAATTTTCTCTTCCCCCCCCCCCAAAAAAAAATACGAATATAGATTTACATTCTTCCTTTAGTTTTCCTTACTTTTTATGTCTAACAGCCTTTTGACATTGAAAATCTTTTTCAGTGTGTTTCAGAGCTGGATTCTTCTCATTTTTATGTTGTTTGATTCATCCAACCCATCCTCATCTTCGTGATTTGTTTTTTAAAGTTTCTGTTAAAAAATAGGACTCTTACTGCCTCAATGACCGAGGTAGGGCAAGAAAGCAGTAACTGGCACAGTTCTCCAACGATCCTTAATGACGGTCATCTCTTGGGTTTCTTATTAGCTAATTTGCTCAGCCTGAATATAGGATCTCATTTGATTTGTCAAGTCTAATGTACATAATCCCTAAGAAGAGTACTAATGTATCTGTGTCAGAAGCACCAAAGTACTTTCATGGTGAAACGATTTATTGGTGGCATCACTGTTGCCCAGGGGACATCCAGTTGGGGGCTCTTTTTGTGTCCCTGTGAAGTTGCCCACCAAAGTGGCACCAATTACTCTACTGGTTGCCCGCTTTCGAACTGCTGGGTTTGCAGGAACTGGAGCATGTGATGAGGGCTCATTCCACCCCTACCCCACCAGCAATGGGTCCTGAATGCAGACTGCCGATTTTCAGCCCAGCGTTCTAATCTCGTGAGCCACCTGGCTCCTATCTAAGAACAAAAATGTCTTGCTGAATTGAGAGGAGGGTTTTCTGTTCACAAGGTTCTGTAGCACGCAGTGGCCATTTGGATGCCCCAGGAAGCTCATGAATGGGACTCGTGAGGATGTTCCTTTTCCGCTATTGGCCCCAGCAATCATTGATGACTTTCATCCACCAAAGAAGTCCTGTCTTTTATCAGTCTTGAAGTTCACCCCAGTTAAATTAATACGTACTGCTTCTACTACTGTGAGAACTGGAGAAATGTACTGTATTCACATTTTACAGACCACTTATAGTGTCTATGAGTCAAAAGGAAAAAAGTTCTGCAAAATGTGAATACAGAATCTTTCTCAAGTTCTCATCCATCTGTAAGTCCCTCCCCCCAACCACCAGTTATCCTTTCTGCACTAGCCTGCCTGTCTCTTTTCTCCTCTGAAATCAGCACAAGGGAATTGCTCTCCAGCCATGTGATTCCCATGGACCATGGATTTACTGGCTTGGCCTTAGGTCAGTGGTTCTCAACCTTTTTAATGCTGCAACCCTCAACCGGTCATAAGTCGAGGACTACCCAACCGGTCATCAGTCGAGGACTTTCCCTGCCCGGGAGAGCCGCGCATGCGTGGTGCCGCCCTCTGCGCCGGCCGAGGCATAGCTGGCAAGCAGCATAGACTGCGCAGGCCAACCACCGGCTGGGCCACCAACTGGCCCAGCCCAAGGGAGGTAAGGCACCCGCCGGGCCCCATGCACGCCAGCAACCCTCCCTGCACCCACCGGCCTCCCACCTCCCACCCCTGGCCCTCTTTTACTTACATTTTTAGTAGTTTCTCAGCAGGGAGGGGTGGAAGCTTCCAGACAGCTCGCCTTCGCTGCAGACAACTTGCAGCACCGTTTGCAGAATGGGACTTTTGGCGGACTCAGCAGGGCAGAGACAGCCTGGACGATTCCTATTGGCTTTTGAAAGCCAATAGAATTAGACTGTTCAAGAGGGAGTAGCACAGCTAAGGAAAAGGGGGAAAAAATAGCGGACTGCGTTGTTTGGCGACCCCCGTGAAATGGTCGTTCGAACCCAAATGGGGTCCCGACCCACAGGTTGAGAACCACTGCCTTAGGTGGTCAGTTGTGTTGCATGCATGTACTCCTTTCTCTATAGCAGCCTGCTTTCTAGAATTGGTAGAAAGCTGTACAAGAAACTCTTGGAATGTATATCACACATGAATATTTTAAGGATTGTTGCATAATCCATATGTCCCGTTAAAATTGATTCTGGGGTGAGAGATACACATTTTTTTCCTATGGCTACATCAAAAGAGTGGGGGAAATGCCACCATTTGGAAGAGATTCAAGAAAGCAATGAGCATAATGAATCCTCCAAAGAGAGATGGTATAAACTTGGTATATTAGTCTTGATAAAAGGATACGATGTTACTGTTGAACTTTGTGCATTGTTATGTGGGGGGGGGGAGGAAATACCTTGCTATCTTATTCGTTCTCATTCCAAAATGCAGGACATGAAACCTAATGACAAAAAGGCAGTTTCTGTTTCAATATAGGAAAACGCTTTCCAGCAGAAGAGATCACCCATGGAACCAGACCCTGAGGCCTCCCTTTGAACGGATATATACAAGAAGAGGTTGCTTTTAAAAGGATTTGTAAACAGTAACTTAGCTAATCTAGATCAGAGGTGTCAAACTGCCGGCCTGCGGGCCGAACGCATCACAAGGAAACCGAGCCCACCCCATTGCCGGCAATAAGGAAAAAGGTCCAATACGTCATGCGACATCGTGACGTGAGTTTGACATGTCTGATCTACAATAGATGTATAGATTGGCAGGAGCAATGGAGTTAACTGCTGCCTTCTTGCTCTGTTTGAGACATTGTGGAGCTTCCCGGTTGCTGTTGAATAAGGAACACCATAAAATACAGCTTAAATTGTGATTACAAAACTTATTCATTTTATATGGTAAAATGACAGATGTATCCAGGAAGGTAAGGGGGAGGGAGTGGGTTACATGATATTCTATAATGATCAAGCATACATTGATAGTCACTTCACAGAGTTTACATTTTAAATTAGTAAACAATAGAATGGGAGAGTTTGCATCTGTCATTTTCGGTCCTAGTGCTCAAGTGTTGAAGACGAAGCAATGGTTGTGCAACTTAAAGGGCTGGTGGAGTAAAGAAATGGCAAGTTGTGCAAAACACACCATTTATATCCCAAGGTGTCTACAGGAGCATTATAGTGACTAAGGAATAGGTGGAAAACGATGGGGGAGAAAGGCAAAGCAACAAATTCCAGTTCTGTTGCTTACTAGACTTTAGTGTGCCAAAAGTGTTATGGTTAGTCTCTACCCAGGTCAGTAGAAATGGATGTAAGAATCTGTTACTATCTTGTTGTCTCTCACTGACAGACTAACCTACGCAGGAAGGAGTTCAATCTTTTGTAACTATTCGTTCCCTATATTTTTATATTTGATTTTTGTATTGCTATCTATGATAGACATTGGATGAGATAGCCAAGAATTTAAAATGCAACTAATTTGCATATTTTGCACATATCTTTTAATTACAATAATGCATCTTATTTTGTTCTTATTAACCAGGACATACCAAGCCTCTATATCACATAAACAATACTTATTCTTTTTACATATTTTCAGTGTGAAAAAGTACAAATTTCTAGTTTTATCAACAACCAAGAGATTGTCCCCATTGGAGGTTCTACTTCCATAATTACACCTATGCACAAAAAATTCTTATAATTTTTACAGTACTAAGGCAATGAATTCTCTATAACCATCAGGAAAAAAAGTTGCAGAAATAGAATTTGGAAAATAGAGAAATTCAAATATTTCAGTCTTGTCTGTAAAGTTAAAAGTCAGAAGGTGGAGACAATAGGTATATTAGCTGGTTGTGCTAGGAACTAATTAGGTTCAACATGCAGGCAGAATAAAGGTCAACAATAAAAATCTGAAAACAAAAATATTAGTCCCCATGTCTTGCCTGCTTTGGGCAAAGCATGCTATGATTTTTGTAAGTTGTACAGATTTCTGTATTGTCAGAAAGAAAATCATGTTTTTGAAATATGAGAGCCAACTTAGTATAATGGTTAAGGCAGGGGTGTCAAACTGCTGGCCCATGGGCTGATTTCATCATACCAAAGCTGTGCTCACCCCATTGCTGGCAATACAAAAAGAGTCGCGATACATCACATGACGTGGCGAGTTTGACACCTGTGGGTTAAGGCATCAGACTAAAAACTGGGAAACGGTGAGGTCTCTCAGGCATTAAGCCAGTTGGGTAACCTTGGGCCAGTCAACTTCTGTCAGCCCTAAGAAGGAAGAAATGGCAAATCACTTCTGAAAAACTTTGCCAAGAAAACTGCAGGATTTGTTTAGACAGACTCTAAGAATTGAACATTATTGAACAGAAGGGAAAAAATTAAAATATTTAGCAGCATCTTGGCAATGTTAATACTTGGACATAGCATTCTAAGACGTGGGTGTCAAATTTGCCGCATCACGTGATGTGTTGCGACGTATTGCAACTTTTTGCATTGATGGAATTGGGGTGGGCGCGGCCTCAGTATGATGCAACCGGCCTGTGGGCTGGCAGTTTGACACCTCTGTAATCTAAGGCATTGCTGCCTACTGAAATCAGTTGAATTTAGGGAGTGAAATTACTGTGAGCTTATGGTTTATGGTGCACTACCTGACATCCACCCAAGTGAAACAACATTTATTCAACTTTTTATTAATTAGTTCAGAATGGAATCTCTTTGAGATGTAGAAGGTAAATTGTACAGATCATAGATTAATTATTGTATTGGGGCTAACAGAATAATTGCTTGACTGTCTTAAGCATAAGATACATCTAGAAGAGCATAACAATGTAAGGTAGAGTTGTTATCTAGCAGATTCCCGACGTCCCCATAACAGCAATTCAACATGCAACGTTTTCATGCAGCTCAGGAATTTTAGTTCTTGATCTTTTAATTCTGGTGGGTTGGCAATAACATGTCTTCATTTTGCAAACTTAGAAGGGCTAATTTAATACCTTATTGTTCAACAGACTATAGTTTCTTGTAGAATCTCATTGATGAAATGTGCTGAACATCGGCTTGGCTGGCTTTTTTTTCTTTTTTAAAAGTTGGACCAATTCATGGAAATCATGGAGATTAAGGGCTATTAGATTTGATGGCAGTGTGGCTGAAGACCATGAAGAGACCGGTGGGCTTCCTTGTGCAGTTGGTTAATCACTAAAAACAGACCCTCTAGACTCAATTCTACCAGGGGTTCAAACTAGTGGGGACTGCTTATGTTCTTATGTTCTTATACTTAACATTCTCATTCAGTTTCACAATGCTCCAATGCACCTGTAACCAGAGGGCAGTGTAGATGAAATAATTTACAAACAGCTTCTAAAAAATGTTTTCTTAGCACTTTCTGAATTCTATCCAACTTTCATTTATTTCATTTATACAACTTTAACATGCTTTCTATTGTTAAAATGGTTTTCCTCTAGCTTTTCTTGTTAAGGTCAATATTATTTCAAGAAAGTGAAATAAATTAAAAACAAAGAACATGTAAGTCCTCCACTTACAGTCATTCGCTAAGTGAGCGTTCAATAATAGTTCTGTAACATTTGATATAGCTGACAAAGACTAAAATAGATTTTCTGAAGGTTCTATAATAATAATAAAGTTGGAAGGGACCTTGGAGGTCATTTAGTCCAACCCCCTGCTCAGGTAGGAAACCCTACACCATTTCAGACAAATGGCTGTCCTGTCCCTTCTTAAAAACATGCAGTGTTGGAGCATTCACAGCTTCTGGAGGCAGGTTGTTCCACTGATTAATTGTTCTAACTGTCAGGAAATTTCTCCTTAGTTCTAGGCTTAGCTATTCTTCTTAGCTGCTTCTCTCCTTGATTAGTTTCCATCCATTGCTTCTTGTCTTGCCTTCAGGTGCTTTGGAGAATAGCTTGACTCCCTCTTCTTTGTGGCAACCCCTGAGATATTGGAACACTGCTATCATGTCGCCCCTCATCCTTCTCTTCATTAAACTAGACATACCCAATTCCAGCAACCGTTCCTTATATGTTTTAGCCTCCAGTCCTCTAATCATCTTTGTTGTTTTTCTCTGTACCCTTTCTAGAGTCTCAACATCTTTTTCACGTCATGGTGGCCTGGATACCACTAAGTATTTTTTTAAAGAGATGAAAATATATATAACCAATTCTTAGCTATTTAGATTTATCATTTAGAAAACCAACTAAAACCAACTAATTCTATAAAGATACAGGTTTACTGAAAATCTTCAGCCACGTAGTCTATTTCCAATTATTTGCATCTTACATTCATTTCTCAAACAGTAGGGATACTGGAAAGTTATGGTTAAGGTCTGAATATGTGAAGCCATTTTAATTTGTGATGAAAGAAGATTTAACGTAAAATATGATTGTGAAATTCTAAGGGCCTAATCTTTGTGCTTGATAACGCTGATTGAAAACAAAATACCTATGTAATTTTGGAAACTTTTGGTTTATTTTAAGACCACCAACATGTGGCTCAATATTCCAAAGGATAGTCATAAATACATAAAAAGAAAGATATACATACATCCAAATATTTTACTAACAAATATTTGTCAATTTATACTCCCATCTTCCTGTATGTAAATATTATAGACGGCTTAAAGACTGAGCTACATGTAGTCCTCAACTTACAACAGTTAATTTAGTGACTGTTCAAAGTTTCAATGACACTGAAAAAAGTGACTTATGACATTTTTCATACTTGTAGTATCCCCGTGGTCACGTGATCAAAATTCAGACTCTTGGCAACAGACCCATATTTATGACAGTTACAGGATTCCAGGGACACGTGATCACCTTTTGCGACCTTCTGACAAGCAAAGTCAATGGGGAAGCCAGATTCACTTAATAACCATGTTACCAACTTAACAATTGCAGTGATTCATTTAACAATGGTGGCAAGAAAGGTCATAAACTGAGACAAAACACACTTCAATGTTTCACTTAGTAACAGAAATTTTGGTCTTAATTGTGGTCATAAGTCGAGGACTACCTATACATGCCAACTTTGAGAATAAAGACTAAACTATTATAGGCTTTCTTAGAATACCAGTAACAAATGGCTTTTCTCCTCTTGAGTCTCTACTGCCACATGGACATCCTTTGATTTCTCTTAGATGGCCCTGAGCTTTCTGTATTGGCTTTCTCAATATGATTCCCCATTAAATATGTTAATGATCAATATATAATACATAATTGGGTGATTAGAAACCAGGGTGACAGGACAAAAGAACATTACTGCCAGGACTGAAGAAGAACAAAGAAATTAGGCTGGACATTTCTGCATTCCTGTATAGGGTTTTTTTTTTTTTTTTTAAAGTTACAGCCATAAGATGAGAGTAACTCTTCCAGTAAGGAGCATCCAAAGTCCTGTGTAGTTTAGTGAGTAGCCCTTTTGGGGGGGGGGGATTGGAGGAAGGAATGTGGGTTGGGCAGAGTCTAGAATTACACCGTTGCAGAATTGGTCCCCCCCCTTTAATGCTTTAAATAGCCAGCACCTTTTTTTAAATGATTGCTTTCACATTTCCCCAGTCAGCCAGATCCCTGACCGCTCATTTTTAAGGTAACAAAAGAATTCCATACTTTTTTTCCTTTTGTGACCTATAGGTATGTAGTCATGAAGTGACAGGTGTGTTTGTGTGTGTTGCTGAACTATTTTTATTTGGTAACAGTGTATTTCTATATGCTTCCTTTGGCTAAGTATTTCTCAACTTTTGCAGCTGTTTGAACTGTAGTATTTGTTTAAGGGCACAGGAATCTTGATTTTCTTCACAAAGGAGATTGTTGGTCTGACAGAACAAATTAATTTAAAGCCTTTTGGTCCTGATGGAGAGGGACCTCAACCAATGGCATGCTGTTTAATTATTTTTTTTAGATTGACATCTTTACTCTTAACCAGATTTCCAGATTCATGGATCTCCTTACCCATGATTTATTACTTGACATCTCATGGATCTGTCATGTCATGGATGCAAACCAGACTTTGATGTACTTCTAAAGAAACCTGGATAGAGAGAAAGACAGACCATATGATGTGGGAAAAATTTAAGATTTGAGGAGTACTTAATTAACATTTTGAAAATATTTATACGTAAACCTTGGAATATGTTTCCAGAGTAGAGATCATTCTCTAAAAACTTCTGAAGCAATTACACATAATGTTTAAATGATGTTCCCCAATCTAATACAATCTCCAAGATGTACTGGGCTAAAACAAGAGAGTGGTGGGAGCTCCAGATGTTGCTGAAATACAATTTCCAATATCTCCATGAAGCCTTGTAAATCAGCATTGGTCGGATGGGAAGAAGGTCACCAAGTTGGGAGCATTGTAGAATGGATTCCAGTCACTTCTACCTTCCTCTCTTGGCGAGTTTATAAGATGCTGTTTTTTATAAAAGATCAAAGCATCTATCAGCAGAAAGAAAACTGCTTCCGAGAACGTCAGAACTAATATTTTTTGGTAAAAGGGAAATTTCTGAGAAAATTCCAAAAGAGATTTTAAAATTAAGTATTAATTAAGTGTTAAATTACATTTCAAAAATAGCAGTCTGAATGGAACCAAGTTTCTAGTGAACTTTCAGTAGCTGGGTCCATGCATCATGTTGCATCAAAATCAAGAAATCGCATTGTCTTAGTGAAAAAGGCAATATTTTTTGTTAAGAAAAAGTAATATTTACTATTACCCTCTTCCTTTAAAATTGGCACATAACCATCTTGGAAGCTACTACTTAGCCTTGTAAACTGCCAGTGAACCACATAAAATCTTCTGAAGACACTATTGGAAAGGCAACAAATGGACATACTGTATATATTTTGCTCAGTTTTGGCATGGAAAAAGCATGTACATGCAGCTCAATCCTGTTTCAGAGTATATATCCAATCCTATCCCTTCTGGGTCTTCAGCCTTTGACAGCACAAGAATATCATATGAAATGAATATAATCTGTATTTGCGTACATCAGTCTGAGTAGCTTTTTCTATAATGGAATTCTGCCTGATTTGTATAGTTTATAAAACCAGGTACACAGTTCCAATACTTTAGACTAATCTGCACTTATTAGTTCCCATCATTTATTAGTTATACGGCTTAAAACCAATCAGTCTGAAACCCCCAGATCTTATTAGGTACTTGGTGGTCTTCATTGGGCCCTCAGGACCTATAACATTCACATATCACTGCCTTTCTGGCTACTACAAAAATACACAATTAATTGTGTTCTTTCTCTCATTGTCTGCAAGAGGAGACAATAAAAGCCAATCAATATATAAAACAAGCATATTCACTAGAATTTACCATATAGATGCTGAGTTCGCATATTGAAGCAATATATGTCTTTCTCCATTGGGCTATAAAACAAACATAAACAACCCCCCAACACAAACCTCTAGCGAAGATTTCTAGAAAACTAACTCTTTGATGCCATGCAGTTGTTTGATTCCATCTGGAGTTTTACAACTAACATGACAGCTTTTAATATATGTGCCAGTTGAATATTCACCCAGAAATAATAGTACCGTGAATTATAACTAAAAATTATTGACCATGGTTTAGGGCTATTATAAATGGCCTTTTTTTTTAATAAGGTGATGATGCAAAATACTATGTAAACAATGTGCTGTCACCAAAATCCTTTTGATAAACTGATTCCAATCAAGCTATCCCTAATCTCTACTGTTTAAAAAATACATATATTAAAAGTGCAATTGGACCATGCAGCATTCTGGTCATAAAATCCATATGCTGAATATGCATATCTGAGTCAAACTTCATGCATTGAAGATCGTGTCTTTATTGGTCTGGGGCCATAAATAAAATGAAATGAAAATGATGCAGTCTTCTGTAAGCAGGGATTCAGCTTTCTAGGAAAATTAGGTAAATATACTGTATTTGCCCTTCTCAGATATCTATACTCGGAGCAAACCTGGCGTGTGTCCCATTTTAATTGGATGGAGGATTGGGATGATACATTATCTATAGATGGAGCTATTTTAATTTAAAAATAAAACATCTTAAATAAAATAAAAATGGAGTCTGCTTTGTGAATGAACACATAAGAACTCCTACCTAGGTAGTTCCTGTAATGGTCAGTTCATTTCATAGGCTCATACATGTTGAAAAAGTAATGTTAACTTTCATTCATTTTAAGACTTTTGCCCAGGATACTTGCCAACATATTGAAACAAAAAATACTATTGGTATACAGAAAACAAAAATATCAAAAATACTATTAAAATATCATTGAAAAGTGTCTATGGAGATTCTCAATCATCCAGGTCATGGTTGTCCCAAAGGTGCTGTTTCATGAGGCAACTGGACTTTCTTGTTTTTCTTTGAAGACGTTTCACTTCTCATCCAAGAAGTTTCTTCAGCTCTGACTAGATGGTGGGGAATAGAAGGATTTATATTCCTTGCAGACATTGAAAAGCATTTGGAAACCAAAACTGGAAGGGTTTCCCACTAAGACCGGGAAATATAGGAACTGCCTAGTGTTGAAAAAACAAAAACGAGTGCACGGAAAATATTGAAGAAGACATTTGACTCTTGACTAGGGTGCCACCATTAAAAAGACCTTTCCTTATTTACCTCCTTTTAGAGAAGCTGCGCTTCCAGAGAAGCCTTTAATATAAACAAAAACTAATATGTATAATCTGGCTAAGAGATTCAACCTTGAGTAGTATTATAACAAACATTAGGATAACCACAGGTTAGGGCATTTGATGACTACAAAATAGATCTGAGAAAGTAAGGATGGACCAACACTAGTGACACATTATGGTCCAAAAATGCATTTGAACTTATCAATTTTGGGATGATTATACTAAAGTAAACAGAGTTTGCAGTGTTTTCACTGGACTGTTGGTTCAAGTGAAATAAATTAAGAGAGTAAATAAAATACCAGTGGTGTACAAAATATCAGGACACGTTGGCTGAAAAGATGCGCTGTGAGGAACCAGAACATTTTGAAAGAAGTCTCTTAAAAATTAAGCTGTCAGTGTTCTTTGAATCCAAAGTAAATACCTCCTACCTTGGTGAAGTCTGTGGGTACATGTTGTGCACAAGGAACATCAACATTTCCAGCTGTTGTTAGCAAGTCAACTGGGCTGTGAACTCTTGAGCAAATCCCTGAGTTTGTTTCTCACTTTTCTTCCAGCTTGAATTTGATTGTTGTAAGCATAACAGCGGGGGAGCAAAAAAATAGCACTGGGCTTTTGAAGGTGGAATGGATTACAGCGTCCCTGGGGCAGTGATCAATGGAGAAATACATGCACAACTCACTGGAGAAACAAAGAAAAAAGAAGCAGGGAATCAGACACTAGATCGGGATCACTGGAACAACAAGCTGGAATATGTGCTGTCTGTGGCAGGAGAAATCATTGGTTTGGGGAATGTTTGGCGGTTCCCTTATCTCTGTTACAAAAATGGTGGTGGTAAGTTCAACTTTTGTTCAATTTACATTGGTGTATGATAAATTTCTTGACTACATGCCTCTTAGCGATTCAAAGGCAAAAGCCACAGTTGAACAAAACATTTATTAGGCCCAATCAAAATGAAAGAATTTGAACACTTGAACACTTCACTGAGTACATACTTACAAAAAACAGGGTATGGGTGAGAAGGAAGCAAATTCCAATATTAGGTAATAATAATAATAATAATAATAATAATAATAATAATAATAATAATAATAATAATAATAATAATAAAGTTGGAAGGGACCTTGGAGGTCATCTAGTCCAACCCCCTGCTCAGGCAGGAAACCCTATACCATTTCAGACAAATGGCTGTCCAGTTTCTTCTTAAAAACTTCCAGTGTTGGCGCATTCACTGCTTCTGGAGGCAGGTTGTTACACTGGTTAATTGTTCTAACTGTCAGGAAGTTTCTCCTTAGTTCTAGGTTGCTTCTCTCTTTGATTAGTTTCCACCTGTTGTTCCTTGTCCTGCCTTCAGGCGCTTTGGAAAATAGCTTGACTCCCTCTTCTTTGTGGCAGCCCCTGAGATATTGGAACACTGCTATCATGTCCCCCCTTGTCCTTCTCTTTGTTAAACTAGACATGCCCAATTCCAGCAACCGTTCCTTATATGCTTTAGCCTCCAGTCCCCTAATCATCTTTGTTGCTCTTCTCTGTACTCTTTCTAGAGTCTCAACATCTTTTTTACATCGTGGTGACCAAAACTGGATGCAGTATTCCAATGTGGCCTTACCAAGGCATTGTAAAGTGGTATTAATACTTCATGTGAAGTATTAATACCACTTTACAATGTGAAGCCCTTTACATGTGAAGCCCTTTCAGTGAAGCGGTCGACGTGATGTGCCGGTGCCTGGAAGATGTGAGGGTCTGGATGGGGGTGAACAGGCTTAGACTCAACCCTGACAAGACCGAGTGGCTCTGGGTCCTGCCTCCCAAAGGCCAACTGGATGGTCCATCTTTAGTCCTGGGGGGGGGCAAATTTACCTCCCTCAGTGCAGGCACGCAACTTGGGTGTCCTCCTAGACTCACAGCTAAATCTGGAACAACATCTATCAGCTGTGGCCAGGGGGACCTTTGCACAGGTTCGCCTAGTGCACCAGTTGCGGCCTTATTTGGACTGAGAGGCTTTACTCACAGTCACTCATGCCGTTGTCACCTCAAGACTGGATTACTGCAATGCGCTCTACATGGGGCTACCCTTGAAGAGCGTTCGGAGGCTGCAGTTGGTTCAGAACGCAGCCGCGAGAGCGATTGTGGGCGCGCCAAGGTACACCCACGTGTCACCTATCCTCCGCGAGCTGCACTGGCTTCCTGTGGGTCTCCGGACGCAATTCAAGGTGTTGGTTATCACCTTTAAAGCCCTTCATGGCATAGGGCCAGGTTACTTACAGGACCGCATTCTGCCGCATAGCTCCCAGAGACCGGTGAGGTCCCATAGATTGGGCTTCCTTCAGGTCCCGTCGGCCAGACAATGTCGGCTGGCGGGCCCTCGGGGAAGGGCCTTTTCCGTGGTGGCTCCGACCTGGTGGAACCAACTTCCCCCCGAGGTTCGAACTACTCCCACCCTGCCGGCCTTTAAGAAGGCTGTTAAAACCCTCCTGTTCCGGCAGGCCTGGGGCTGATGTCCCCGGGGGGCCGGGATATGACCGGACTCGCAGTATGATCGCAGTATGATCGTATTATTTTATTATTTTATTGTTTTTTGACTGTTTTTTAACTTTGTACGCCGCCCTGAGTCCTTCGGGATTGGGCGGCATATAAATATTAAAAATAAATAAATAAATGTGATCTTGATTCTATCCCTCTGTTAATGCAGCCTAGCACTGTGTTGGCTTTTTTTGCAGCTGCAGCACACTGATGGCTCATATTTAAATGATTGTCCACTAAGACTCCGAGGTCTCTCTTAAAGTTACTACTATTGAGCAAGGTACCCCTACATTATAGCAACGATATCTGCTTGAAACTGAAGTCTTCAGCTCTTACATTCTGATTTATACTCTGCAGTCTCGTCTTAATGCAAAGAAATGATAAATGCTAGCAATATCAAACATGCCAACAATTTTTGTAATGTTGAAACCATTCCTCTCACCAGGTAAGTTGGGATGAAAAAGAGGAAATTACATAAGCCTACTCATAGTTACCTATCCAAATCCAGTGCCCTATTTATTATTCATTTTTCTGTTGCACATAAGATTTCATTCTTTAATTCCTGGAACAACAACTGAAGAACAACAACTGTAACTAGTTAAAATTTACCCTGGGAGCTTCCGTGGAATAAAACCTGATCTCTGGTACCACTTAGTGTCTTAACCAATGCAATCTACCTCTCTTTTCCAAATCTAGGACCTCTCTATCTGTGCAGACTTATGGCAATGCTTGCTGAAAATTTTGGGAATTAAAATCTACGTGTTTGGAGATACCAAAGTTGGGAAAGGCTTTTTGTCACTTCAAGGTTGTCTGTTACATTACTAAATATATTTTGCCTTTTTTATGGATCAATTACAATTCTATTGAGAACCACAAAATAATCAGCAGTTTACAGTAACAAAAGGCATAGAAAAATATAATATCCACAGTAAACAATAATATAAAGACCAATTATATAATCATAAAGCTATAATTACAATCATCCCATCTAAGCATTATCCATTAGCAGAAGTAAAACCCACCATCTTTTCTTTTAGAGAATATCTGGCATCTCCTGTCATTTATCCTCACAACATAATCCCTATAAAGGTAGGTTGGATTAAGTAACAGTAACTGAGACACGTTCATCCATGTTGACTGGTGAGTTGAATCAGGATTTTCCCACTGACAACACCTACATCACGGGCTCTATCTAAAAATTGATTCACGCATAATTTGGGAAGTCTTTCAACTTCATATACATAAACAAAAAATCTTAACACAACTATCCAAAAGATGTTTTTCCAAAAGGCAACTGGACTTACTTGTTTCTTTTTCCTTTGAAAACATTTCATTTCTTCTTCAAGAAACCTCTTTTTTACTTTTTAATAATTTTATTAGTTTTTTGTTGTTGTTAATTGCGAAGTTATGTCCGATCCATCATGACCCCATGGACAACGTTCTTCCAGGCCTTGCTGTCCTCTACCACCTTCTGGAGTCCATTTAAGCTCAGGCCTACTGCTTCAATGACTCCATCCAGCCACCTCATTCTCTGTCGTCCCCTTCTTCTATTGCCCTCAATCTTTCCCAGCATTAGGCCCTTCTCCAGTGAGTCCTTCCTTCTCATTAGGTGGCCAAAGTATTTGAGTTTCAACTTCAGGATCTGGCCTTCTAAAGAGCAGTCGGGGTTGATCTCTTCTAGGACTGACTGGTTTATTAATTTATAACATAAAATATGAAAATACAAAAGCAAATAGTAAGGGATGACAATAGGAAAAGGGAAAATGAAAAAGTATGGAGAAGGGGAGGGAAAGAAACAAAAGGCATTGACTTTCGACTCCCTCTGTTGCAGTAAAATGAGACATTAAGAGAAGCAAAACCTTTTCAAAGAAAAAAAAAGACAAGAAAATCCAGTTGCCTTTTAGAAAAACACCTTTGGGACAGCCATGACCTGGATGACTGAGAATCTCCATAGACACTTAACACAACTATACGTAAAGATTTCTGCTTCAATCCCAAATCACCAGAACATGGGAAGAAAAGGCTTTATTAGTTATCAGCTGGCAAAGTTCCAACAATGCCCAATAGCACTGAGGCCCATCTCTGAACAGATAGTGGACAGCACTAAAGCACCATTTAAATTTCCCATAATCCCCACGGAGATGTTGTGCTGGGCATTGCAGGAAATCTAACTAACAAAAGAGAACATTTGTAGTTTAGGGTTGTACTGCAGGGTGGGTCCTTGGTGCTCTCTGAGCGTGGTGGTTTTCTGTTTTGTAAGGCCTGTCAGGTAAACCCCAATCAGGAGCTCTTCAATTTAGGAAGGCATCCCCCACGCTTGGAGCCTGTCTAATTTAGTCTGGTGTTTCTGCACATATCTTATTCTTGGTTTTCCTCCAACTCCCCTTCTGAATACAAGGCATATGTTTTATACCTGTTCTTAAAACTGTCTGCAGCCATTCTATCCAATCTCACGTAAACAACCTGGAAATGTTTCACAGGAGGGTTAATACTCAATGCCATTTTTTTTCTGCTGGGAATTCATGCCTGCTGACCTTCCCCTCCCCCCCTTTTTAAATATTAGCAGCTTTGGAACAAAACACAGATTTGGAGGGGGTTTTCAGTGAGAAAGGAATAAGAGCCCCTCCTTTCCTATCATAGTTGATGCAGATTAGGCTGGCTGCCATTTTGTTTCCAAGGGATAATTTCTTAATTAGGATTAAGGGATAGTGTTCATTTTTAAAAAAAATTAATAAAGAATGTGGTTGTTCTTTTGGCATATATGTATGGCAAATACAAAGAAACTTGCATTTGAGCTTTTAGAATTGTTGGAGAATTTATCGCTATCCAGCTTTACTGTTTTATTCTAATCAGGGGTATTTATTTTAATTTATTTTAATGGGGGGGGGAAGTCAGCAGAGTGTGATCAAAATAGGAGCTTAAACAATGTGATTGAAGCTTGCCATAATATACATAAAAACCAGTGGACCTTTGATTGTTCGATTGTGACCATTATCTAGATCAGAGCTCCCCAATCTTTCTGACTTGGCTGCCTGGAAGGAAAGGGAGGAGCAGGGAAATGTACACGCATGCACAAACGGACCACTAGCGTGACGCTGGAGGTGGTGTTAGCACCCCTCGCACATGCAAAAATGAGGCTGCTAGTACCCATCTAGATCAGGAGTCTCCAACCTATGGGCCACCAGGCTGTGGGAATGGCTGTGCGCACACCCCCACACTAGAGCTAGCGCTGCTGCGTGGGCACTAGCAGCCTCATTTGCGCATGCACAGGGGGTGCTAATACTCCTGATCTAGATGTTTTAACCCAGTGG